TCTCGCTTTAATTTTTACCTTATATAAATTAAATTCATGGGCCACCCTATGGGTTCCATAATACCGAAATACCATTTAATAAAAATCAAAAGTAACAACCAAGTCAGAACCTAAAGCATACGATTCTCACTTGGAGCTGCAACTTTCTACTCTTGCACCTCAACTGATTTTCAAAACAATGAACCTGCCATCTGATTTAAATTTTGACTGGATAAGAATAGGAGAAGATTTTAATGAATGCATCTTTTGATTAAAAACATTATAGAAGTTTCATGTGTATGCAGCATATGCATACGCACCACCCTAATCTTAAATATAGCTAAGAGTCTTTTGGAAATGGCGCCTCTACCTCTATAGATATGGGTAAGTTTTGCATACATCCTTATTCTTAGACCTCACTTGGGGGACCATACTGTGTCGTTGTTGTAATGCTGAAATAGTAATGCTTATGAAATTCTTCCCTACTTCCACTTGGATTTTTTTTGAAATTCTGTGTCAAACTAGAGACTAGCCCCCGCTATTGATGCATTTTCTTATTCTGTTTCAAGCATTATGATGTTCAAACTGTGAAACTTATTACTTTGCATATTAATAATATAACTCTATACATCTATGTACAGTGTTAGACTTTAAAGTTTGGTGATCAGTATGCCCATATGTGTGTGTCTATATATATATATATATATATATAATATCTTTTTATTTTTTTTGAGGATTAAAAAACCGTCAATGGAAATTGCTTTTGCAGCAAGGAAGAAGCTGGCATGAAAACTGCAAAACTGAGGGATGAAAAGGACGTTTTAGACAGGAAACAGAACACTGATATTGAAGCTCAAAAGAATTTGGAGGAAAATCTTCAACAGTTGGAGAATCGGAAGCAAGAGCTGGAGTCACAAGAGAAACAAATGCAAAGCAGATTGGAAAGAATTCTCGAGGCAGTAAGAAAAAACAAGGAAGAGTTAGATTCAGCAAAGAAAGAACAACATAAGATGAGAGTTAGACATGAAGATTCCAGGTAGCTCATCCCAATTTTCCAAATGTTACTGTTTTCAAACTGTACACTGGCTCAATCTGCATATTGGTTTCATAATTCCCGTACCTTGAAAATAACTTGTTGACTGTGTCTCCGTATTTACTAAACATTTACCTCTTTGTTTTCTGGTGAAGGCGCAAATATGAAATGCTGAGGTCAAAAATTGAAGTTGTAGATAATCAATTACGTGAGCTGAAGGCTGACCGGCATGAAAGCGAGAGAGATACAAAAAATTCTCAAGCAGTTGAAACATTGAAGCGTCTCTTCCCTGGTGTTCATGGTCGTATGATTGATCTTTGTAAGCCAACACAAAAGAAATATAATCTTGCGGTAACTGTTGCAATGGGCAGATTTATGGATGCAATAGTTGTTGAAGATGATCACACAGGCAAGGAATGCATCAAGGTATGAAAAAACTATATTTACAGATTTACCTAGCAATCCTTTGCGCGATTGCTTTGTGATGCACAGTGTCTTTTGGCATCCTATCAAACAAATGATACCCTCACGTTCCTACAAATTTTCTACTTCATCAGTCTCATAATTTTCTTCTCTTTTCAACTTGGCACACCTATTAAGAAAATGAAACTGTGTACTGGAGGCTTGTTTATAAAGGAGAGAAATAATATCAACCGCAATAATTTTACTAAAGGAAACATGATTTCTTTTTTGGGACAATCCAAAAGGAAAAATGGGAAGAAAATTATGGAAGGGAGTGAGTAATGTTGGGGAATAAAAAAGATTTTGGGTCATGTTCCATTGTCTTCCCATGATAGTTTTCATAGAAGTCTGTTCAAAAATGGCAAGGCGCAAACCCGCCCCAAGGCGCACCTCAGGTACTTTGCTGGAAAATAATTCCTCAAGCCTATCTAGCCCTACACTATAAACCAGTTGAAGCAATTGCAAACTAAGCCTCAGGGCTTCCAACATGATGCAGTTTTGAGACTTACACAATATTTCATGCCAACTTTTTTATATATTAAGAATAAATTAGTCCACTCAATTAGCAAATTTTAAATACTTATATGGTACCTGATAACCCTAGTGCTACCAACACATTTTTTCCTTATCTGCACGAGTCTTATTTTGTGGTAGCTTATCTGTTTTTTGTTTGCTTATAGCTGCTGTGTTTTTTTCTTATGTACTGCCAGCATGTTTTTTTCTTCTAATCTGCTACTTTTTTTGCTTATCTGCTCTGTGGGATTTTTTTGTTGCTAACATGCTGTTTTTTCTTATCTGCTGTGTTCTCGCCATAAAAAAGAACCTCTTGCCCGCCACTCGCCATTCGCCACTCACAACTATGGTTCTAATAATGTCTAATGGACATTTCAATACTTCAAACATGAGGGTTACACACTCACAATACACCATTTCAAACAATGATGCAAGTGGGATGAGATATAATGACTGTATAGTTTAATATGGATATAGTAAGTCTCATCTGGGTTATTTTAATGGCAGTATTCACCTTTCTCCTTCAACTAGTGTAGAAATAAAGTGGACTCTAGAGGTCTTACTGGTTTGCGTCTTGTGTGAATCCAACACTCTTGGTTTTGTTTTGTAGCTTTCTACAAAACTTTAATGACCCTTTTTGGCTTTGTGAGTTTGTGCTCTTTCTAGTTTCCGTTTACAATGCTAAATTGTAGTTATTTTTAATTCAATTTATTTAATTATTGGTGTAAAATTTAAAAAGAAAATTTATATATTTGGAAACTACATTAAAAGCTTTACAAAACAGGAGGTGAAATGACTACTATTTTATTAAAAGGTTTTGCTTAGGACAACCCTTAGAATCTCATTCGTTGAACTAAAATAAAAAAATGGGCGTGGGGTTAAAAAGGGGGTGGAGGTGTTCTTTTAACCAATGAGATGCTCTACTTTTTACCTTAAAAACAGCTGTTATGGTTGTCTCTAACAAAATTCTATGAGTAATGAATAGTAACTAGGAACATAATTTTGGGAGGTTTTACGGGCAAGTTCTTTTAACACTGGCCACCGGTGCCATAATCCGACACCGTCCATTTGGAGGGCCATTATGGTGCTCCGTTGAACTTCCCCCTAAAATCCTCTCTCAAACCCCTTCTCCCTACTCTGCACCCCACCGCAGCCCCTCCTTTGGTGAATTGTCATCCAATAGGGGGGGAGGGGTCTTATTGTGGGAGGATGAGATGGGGACGTGGGGTACATGGGGTTGGGTGCTGGGTTAGGGAGTGAGAATTGGGGGGGGGGGGGTNAGGGGTATGAAACACATTGGGACCAATAGGGACCTCAAATGGACCGGTGTAATATTAGATTATGACACTGGATCCAGTGCCAAAAGAACCATGATGATGGTTTTATTTCAAAATAAAGGGAATTCAAAATCTTTTCAATTTTTATAAAGTTTTGAAAATAAAAGAGCTATAATAACTACTTCCTCTGTCTCAAAACTAAAGTCACAATTCTATTTTTGGTTAAACTAATACACTAACACTATGTTTGGTTCAAGGAATTTGAAAAGGAAAAGAGAATGATATGGAAAACAAGTTTTCTTGTCTGGTTAGAGAGTAAAAGAAAAATGGAAGAGAAGAAAATGAGAGGAGGAAATAAGCTATGAAGAGGGAAACTAATTTTCCTTCCATTTTGATGACAAAAATGGGAGAAACCTTTTTTCTTTTTCTTTTCTTTCTGAATTCCATGAATGAAACATTATGTAAATATACTATAATATCCCTACCATTTTAAATCACTTTTTCTATCCACCCCTATTTGTCTCCCATAGATATACTATATTAAGCTCTTTTCAGGAGTAAAATTGGAAAGTCGAATCCACTTCAAAATTTTCCTTAATAGGTTTGAAGTCAAACTGTGACTTTTATTCCGGGACAAAGGGAATAATGGATTGTGTGTTAAGATCTGTTGCATCTACTTTTCTCCTTCCCAAACCCAGACCCATTTGGGCCTCATCTGATTGGATCAGAATCTTGGTTTAAATGTAGTAATAAGTCAATCACATAGTCATTCCCATATCCAATATGTAGTTATTCCCACATACCTATTTCAAGCTCTACTTTCATTTTCAAACCTATTATGTACAGGCAAGCAGTTATATACATCATCTGGGGTACTTGGGGTTTGGAATTGAATATTCCATACCAAATCCTTTTTCTAATTCTAAAACAGGTCCAAATCAGGGCCTAGATAACATGTCATTCAACCCGGGGTAGGTCGCGTTTGAATGAAATCTTTATCTATACCCACAAAATATATTTCCTTTCTGGGTCAGATCTGGGTCAATGAAAAGAGATGGAAGTTCCTCAGCGTTGTCCCAATCTGCTTCTGAACCTATGTATTGGGTTGGGGAAAGCTGCATTAGGCCCCTTGACATGCCCATATACAAGTTTTGAGTTTTCATACTTTTTTTCAAATGAACCTGTTTGAAATCTGAGTAGTTACTTTTCTTCAAATGAACCTGTTTGAAATCTGAGTAGTTCACCAAATCCTTGACTGAGATGATGCAAAATGCTAAATTTCCTAATTCCAAGTTTGTACACATGACTGTTCATTAACTATATAATGTAAATTGCTAATTCTGGCATATTCTCATTAGTGTGCTTGCATGCCTACAGTATTTGAAGGACCAAAGGCTTCCTCCCCAGACATTTATACCACTTCAATCTGTCCGTGTGAAACCGATAATGGAGCGTTTACGTGCATTAAATGGAACTGCAAAATTAGTGTTTGATGTCATCCAGTATCCTCTTCCTCTGCAATTTCTCTAACATGTAATGGATTTCTTAGAGAATTGTTTAACCCCTTCCAATTTTTTTTTCCACTATTGTGCAATGTGGCCTTGCAATGTTATTTGACTACCCATCATAGTCAACACTTCTCTTTTTTCCTGTGAATTTGAGAACAAAAAATGTTTTTTTGTTGAATTATGGAGGTGGTATTGAAACTGGTATGAATATATTGTTTTTAATCACCGATCTTGAAAATGTTTATGTTCTGTTTATTTGAAATATGGAATTGAAATTCAAACAGAAGCTATGAGGTTTTGTTCCTCAACAAATAACAATGCCAGATTCAATCCAGCATTGGAGAGGGCAATAGTATTTGCGGTTGGTAATACCTTAGTTTGTGATGTGCTTGATGAAGCCAAGCATCTTAGCTGGGAGGGTGAAAGATTTAAGGGTAACTTCTAAATTTTCCATTTTGTAAAGGGTGTTAATTCCTCCTGCCTTAAGTCCAGTAATACTAATAACTGCATTGTGCTTGTAGTTGTGACTATTGATGGTATTCTGCTGACAAAATCGGGTACAATGACGGGCGGTTCTAGCTCAAGTATTGAAGTACGCTCACATAAATGGGATGACAAAAGAGTTGAAGGTTTGTGCAATGGTTAATACAAGTGATACTGATATAGTCACAGCTTCTGATATTTTCCTTTTTCAGAACTGAAGAAGAAAAAAGAAGCACTTGAATCAGAATTGGAGGATCTTGGTTCAATAAGAGATATGCATCTCAAGGAGTCAGAAATATCAGGCAAAATAAGCGGGCTTGAAAAGAAGATTCACTATGCAGAAATTGAACAGGTTAGTGGAGTAAATAGTGCCACCTTCCTGATCTTCCTGCAAGCTCCACAATTTCGCACTTAGCTAAGAGAGATGTGAGGTTAAATAACGGTGTAGACATTCTAGTTGTCTAGATATTCTAATTGCCAGTGCAAGCTCAACATTTCACTTTTTCATGTTACGAGAGAACTCAAAAGTTTCATGAACTATTTTTTATAGCTTGTCAGCCTAAGATTGTGTTAGGTGTTGACTGTTGGAAAATGGTATTGAAGTTGGGCAACCTCTTTGGGACAAGGGGTGTAGTGGATATAATAATGGGGTTCATGATTTATCTAATATGCTCTGTTGCTGCGAAGTTCTTGTGATTGATATTGAGTTAAAATGAAATTTAGCTTGGACCATCCAATCTGCTCTTTTATTAGTGTACTGGGTTTTGTGCTGGATGAGACAATGGAGTTGGAAGTTTTTTTATAACTCTTTATTATTTATGCTTTTCAAAATGGTTTGTTTTGATTTTTGGGCATATGTTATACATATTATTAGTTATTACCTATTGTACATATTGTTGCAGAAAAGCATTGCTGATAAACTTACAAACTTGAACCGTGAAAGGGACACAATTGGAAATGAGATTGGTCGCTTGAAGCCTGAACTTAAGAAGGTTTTAGTGATCTTTCTTTTGTTATCTCTGTCTCCTTAGGTTAATGATCACATGGAAGCCATTATACCACAACTTTTGGGTTTCTGCAGTTGGAAAGTGTCATTCGTGAAAGGGCTTCTGAAATCCTGTCTCTAGAGAAGAGAATCAATGACATTGTTGATCATATCTACAAGAGATTCAGCGAGTCTGTTGGCGTTAAAAATATTCGTGAGTATGAAGAGAACCATCTCAAAGCTGTAGAACAGATGGCCGAGGAAAGGCTAAGCCTTCACAATCAACAATCAAAGATTAAATATCAGTATGTTTTTTTCTCTGGTTTTTAAGTTATTGTGATTCTAGTCACACTTAATTATTTAATCGAACCATGTACTCTATAATAATATTGCTACTAAAATATCAGAGGAGATAGGAGATTGCTGTCACAATCACTTGAGGAAGCTTTCATCTTCTCTTTCACAGGGACATACAGTCATGGTTTACGCTAACAATCTAACCATAAAACTTCATACATCTCTTCTTGACCCATTAAAAGACTATTTACTTCGCACCTCTCCCGTTGGTTGAGCGACTACGTATCTTAGTTGAACTAGCGACCACGTACCTCGTGAGATCCATATCTTTTTAGGCTATGGATTGCTGGAACAAATGTAGTTGAATGGAACAGCAGGCGGGTTACACATTCCACTGCATTCTATTTGATTTGCTGGGTGAACCTGGCATATTGTGTCTTAACCCTGTATTCATTTTTCCCTTTCTTCCTCTGTAAATTCTATGCACTTCAAATGATGCCTCTTGGTGTCCTATCTGATCCTCTAACAAACATGTCTCACATTGGTGTAGAGCATGAGTACTAGCTTTTAATTACTATTCCCAGATTCCTAGAGTCATTTTGTTGATTTAGTTCACGAGTCAATCTATGCAATCGTGATTCCAAAGAGGGAATTCTAATTTTTTTCTCTGCAGAGGGCGTAGTCTGTATTGCATTGCATGTTAGCCGACTTTTGACTTCAACAACAGCTTTTAACTTTGTATGAATGATATTACTAATAGTATAAATACCGTATTATTAATCATGGGCATGCGCTATGCCCAAAATATCAATAGAACGACTCAAATGGATTCCACGAGTGTATGGTCTGGGGAGGGTGTGTGTACGCAGACCTTGCGTGGCAAAAAAATGGTCATCCACAATATTTTGAACTTTTAAAGTCTTAAAGATTATGTAGAAAATGAATGAATGAAAATGTTAAATAAGTGAAGGACTAAAATATAAATGAGTATGGTAAATGATATGAACAATAGTGCACGAAGTTTAAGTACTTCATGAATCCTCACCAACACATTTCTTTTGCTGTGTTGTGACCTTAAAATTATTCCCCTGTATGGTTTGTTAGATTATCGATTAATGATTTTCGTCTGATTGTGCTCTTAAATGTCGCCATGTTTTTTATTTTAAAGGAGTCATAACTTTTGGCGATGACCATTTTTCTAGTGATATTGTTGGTCTTGATTAATATTGCAGTTAATCCCTGTCATAAGTTTTTTTCCCATGCATTCTTGTGTGGAAAGTGATGGTGCATTGGCTTAAAACCCATCATGTGTTCATGTCGAAAGCACTTGGATAGTTTGCAGCATGAGTCTTTGGTATACTGCTTTGTTACTGGAACACGATACGTATTAATATGATATAACGGCAGGTTGGAGTATGAGCTGAAGCGGGACATGGACTCAAGGATTAAAAAATTGCAGACAACACTTGCCAAGTTAAAAAATGATTTGTCATTGGTTGAGGAGAGTGAGAAGGAATTGACATCAACAATCGAGATAATAGGCAGGGAAATTAAGCATCACGATGAAGTAGTTATGGGTATGTAATTCAACTTTCATATTTGTGTTGCTTCAAAAAGGTGTCGAGTTCACTTTTCTTTGGTTTTGGATCTTGAAGCCTTTCATAATGTAAAGCAAAATTTGACTATATTAGCATTTTAAAAAACAAATACCATTTTAAAATGTACTCCCTCCTTCCTTTAATGAACTGTACACTTTACTATTCCAACATCATGGTAACTTTTGTTTACTTGTTTGTTTTCATTGATTATTTGATAAAATAAAACATGCTTGTCACCTCTTGTTTTGTAGAGCTTTTGACGTAGCTTTTAACTATGCAAGTTTTATTTTTTATTTCTATACCATTTTATAAATGAAATTAATATAAAAAACATGGGGTTTTGCCACGTATTTTCCTCCCCGCAATCCATTTTGGGAAGGAGAGAGTATAACATAGAAACATGGAAATAGTTGTGGTTCTGATGTGACATGAATTGGGGTAAGTGATTCATGTTAATAGTATTCCCATGTATGTCATTTAAAGTGATTTTATTTGTTTTGAGGCGACCACCGGAAACAAAAAGAGTCCACTGCTGATGGTACTAAGAGAGTAATTTTTTTATTATGTTAGCTTCGGGTAAATATTGGACTAGATCAAAATGGCACGATAAATTTCCCTTCCTACTTTTTATGAAGCTTTGGGAAGTAAATGTAGCAATGGATCATGGGTCTAACAGAAAAGTCCCCGTTTTTCATAGGAGTAACTGCCGTAAGGTTGTGAGAAACAAATCATGTTGCAATTATTTTTTGCTTAGTTCATTTTTTCTGATATTGACATTAGGGTTTGATATTGGTATCGGTTTTTTATGAAAAACTTACAAAATTGACTACCTAAAGGTACTATTTGGCTCATCTGGAGCAGAATGTTGTACTACGATAGTGAGGCAGGGATAATCTTACAGTCATACTATCTGTCATAGTGTCATGAATGGATTATTTTTTGTGTATATAGTATATACTGGTAGTTTTTCTAGATTGCTTCTAGAATCTGGATTGGAAAATGTATAACCTTTTTTGTTACTTCTATTTTCAGCATTCTTTCCGTAAACTGTTGTCATAATTGATAATTCTAATCCACTCATCTTGGTCATCAAATGTTATTAAATTCCATTATTGTGCAGAGTGGAAATCCAAATCGGAGGAGTGCGAAAAGGAGATACAGGTATTGCAGAAAGAGATTTCCTCTGCAACGACAAGTGTTAGCAAACTTAGTCGTCAAATAAAGTCGAAGGTTGGTGTTTTTAGTGGATGCCTTGTGATTTTTTATGCATAAACTAACATCCATTATTGAAGATTGCACAACCATATGTTTCTGGTTTGGAGCTACTATAGGAAATGGGGCAAATAGACAACACTAATACATTCTTCATGGGGGTTGGTTTATAGGAGGCACAGATGGAGCAGTTGAATGCAAGGAAACAAGAGATACTGGAGAAGTGTGAACTAGATCAGATTAACATTCCTACTATCTCTGATCCAATGGAAACGGATGGGCAAACTCCTGGCCCTGTTTTTGATTTCAGTAAATTGAGTAGGGCTTGTCATCAGAGTACTAGACCATCTGATAGAGCGAAACTTGAAGCAGATTTTTCGGGAAAAATTGCTACCCTTGTATCAGATATTGAAAGAACTGCTCCGAATCTCAAAGCTCTTGATCAATATGAATCTTTGCGCCAAAAAGAGGATGCTGTTGCTAAAGAGTTTGAAGAAGCAAAAAATGAAGAGAAGAAAGTAACTGATGAGTACAATAGAATTAAGGAGGCGAGGTATTATTTGATTTCCACAGAGTTCTTAAAATGGTTTTTTTCCCATCAAAGTTGGTTAGGCACGCAAGTTTATTTACCTTTCTTGATTCAGATAGTAAATGGTTTGTAGAATTGCCCTCTTGTGTGTGGGTGTGGCTGTGTACGTGTGTGTGTGTGTGTGCGTTGGGGGGGGGGTATGAATCTTTTAGACTGGTATAAAGTTGGTCTATTTGAATATTGTCAATTAAGTTTTCAATTCTGTTTTCAGGTATGAATTGTTCATGAAGGCCTTTAATCATATATCTGGAAATATTGACAAAATTTACAAACAACTCACAAAGAGCAACACGCACCCCCTTGGCGGCACAGCATATCTCAACTTGGATAATGAGGACGAGCCATACTTACACGGTATTAAGTACACTGCAATGCCACCAACAAAGCGCTACCGTGAAATGGAGCATCTATCAGGCGGAGAGAAAACGGTTGCTGCACTTGCATTGCTTTTTTCTATTCACAGGTATGATTTTCTTAACATTGAGATCTCTGTGTCGTGAAAAAAAATGTCTTAGCCAATTTCTTGGAGTTTTCTCTTTTACAAGCCAACCTTAGTATTCATTTTCTTATAATAATAATAATAATAATAATAATAGTATTATTATTATTATTATTATTATTCTTATTCTTATTATTCTTCTTCTTATTATTATTATTATTATTATTATTATTATTATTATTATTATTATTATTATTATTATTACTACTACTACTACTACTACTACTACTACTAAGGTCATTTTTATTGTTGTTTCGCAATTTTTGAGTTACCCAACATCCCTTCTCGGCACTACTCTACACTTAGTGGTAGAGGTAAAGCCTACGTACATATTGCCTCGCTCCCCATCTTGAGTGGGATATGTTAGATTTGTTTGGTTGGGTTTGGTTTGATTTGGTTCGGTTCGTTATCCAACATGCATTGCGACATATCTACATTGTGAGTTGTGGCCCCAATCAAAACCATATACTTTTTTTTAATCAGGATGAAAAAATAAACAAAAAATCTACTTTAATGCGCATCTGTGATGCCATTTGCAGTTTTAAGCCTTCGCCGTTCTTCATATTGGATGAAGTTGATGCAGCACTGGATAATTTAAATGTTGCCAAGGTGGCGGGATTTATCAAATCAAAATCATGTGGTGGAGCCCGACTTAATGCGGATCCTAGCGAAGGGTGTGGCTTTCAGAGTATTGTGATATCACTCAAAGATAGCTTTTACGACAAGGCCGAAGCATTGGTTGGTGTTTACAGAGATTCAGATAGAAGGTAAAAAAAACCTCTCACTTGACTCTTTTTACTACGGTATTTCAAGATTCAACTCTTCAAGAAAATTAGTAGCCAATTCACCCCCCCCCCCACCCTGCCCCCTCTCTCCCACTTCCAGTTGCTCGAGGACGCTGACATTTGACTTGACCAAGTACCGCGAATCATAAGGCTGCTACCATTTCTCTCCCCCGGCGGTGTAAATAGAAAGCACAGTTTATTTGCCAGTAGTATACAATGACTAGGGATGGACATGGACGCGAGTAGCTTCAGTTTAACTAATACAAACAGCCAACAGGACGGTGCGGGTTAAATATAGTTTGTGTTGTACACATTGTTATATTTTTACTTGTTTAGTTTGATTGTTCACTGTCCATGTTTGACATTGATGCTAGCTTATCTCATAAGTAAAGATATTGAGACTGGTACTGTGCAAGACAGTAGATTTGAGTAAAAGTGCTGGTTGGAGCCATGTTTTTTCGTGAACTCATTGGCAAGACAGGGTTTACGTGTTTGGGTTGGGAAATGTTGTGGTATTAATCACTCCCTTGTTCAACTTCAACTAGGAGAGAATTACCAAAATAGTACTCCGTATTGAAACATGTTTTATATACTAAAATACCAAAGTACACTACTCCCTCTATTCAAACATTCCTTTCCCGATTTGATTTGACTTGGAGATTAAGAAACGTTAAAAATGTAAAGACTTTTCACGTTTGCTTTTAATGTGATAGAATAAAGTGAATAGTGTAGATAAAAAGTGGGAGTATAATGATACATTCATTGAAATTTTGTTGCCAAAATAAGAAACGAGAAAGATATTTTTGGATGGCTCAAAACGGAAAGTGGGAAAGAAGTTAAATGGAGGGATGGAGTCATGTTGTGGCATTGCCGAGATATTATGGTCTTTATTTAACGGATAAAAATATGGGAGGGCTAATCTTGGTATGAGTTTTTAGTTTTATTTAGGTAAATTTCATTTCAAAACAATTTTGTTTGTTTTTCTACAAATTTGTCATGCCATATTTTTGTTTGTTTATGTACTGTCACTGAACTAGTTAGAGTTATTGAAAAACATCATTGAACTTGTTAAAGACTTAAAGTGATAAGAAATGACACTCCCTCAATTTTTTTATTGTACAGTATGAAGTTGTCTTTACTTTTGGTCTTTCCGATTTTTGTTTAACTATTTTCTCCTCATGTTTGAGTTTCCCTTAATCTTCTACGATTCTGTTTGACGTTAAGTTTAGTGTTTAGTTTTTACGGTTTGTGAGTTTTATGAAAGGTAGATTTTTGCATTGTGGTTTTGAAAGTTAATGAAAACCATTTTGAAACTATTCAAAAAACTAATGTTGATTACAAATGATATTCACAAACAAAGTCGATATCTTCATCAACTAATTTGTTTTCATAGAAAATAACTCTATCGGTACTAATTTTTTGGTTACCAAAGTGTATGTGTGAAAAATATTGAAATAATTTGTGTAAAAATATAAATGTAAGAAACTAGTGTTATCAAGTGGAAACTTAACCGGTTTAAACCACAATATTATACCAACAAATAAGTCATTAATGAAATTCAAGATTTTATGAAGAGGAAAATGATGAAGGAAAAACAAAGGGGGAGGACATATAACATACTCCTATGTTTTGAGTGCATATGGAGTCCCCTCTTCTTTTATAGTGGAGGGTCATGCTTTCCAAATTTTTTCAAGTTCGCATCCTAGACACATCTCAGTAGTTCGATGGTACACAATACTATATCTATTTCAAAATAAAGTTCTTGTTACGATTTATTATATTTTTCTACTATATCTTAAACATGTTAGGTTTTCACTAATAAAAACAGAGTACATACTTTTTTTTATATAATTACTTCTTATTATATTATTTTTTTAACTACGAGAATTTGAAATTGCCCAATTTATTGAGGACGACGGAGAAGAAGGGAGGAAAATGTTAGAAAACAGTTCTTCCTACATCATTTGTATTTTTTTTAAAAAAATTCTTCTTTATTTTTTCTTTTTCAGTAATGGAATATGCAATTCTTAACAATTCTTTGTTACCTATTTTTTTTACTTTGCAAATTGTTTCCTAAATTCTAGTGAAATCAAATTATGATTTTAATTCGGGAGTTAAGGGAGTAAAATAACAATATTGAACAAACATAAACATTGAAAAAATCCGTTACATACCATTAAATTTTATAGAGTATCAATTTTTCAAGCTCAGTGACCAATTTTTGACGTTCCTCTTTCCGCGTCTGTTGCTTTTTCCGCGTTTGTTGCAGAAACTACTTCTATTGAATGAATTAAAAGATTACATCATTGACACCTCGCTCTACTTTGCACACTAAGCGCATATACTATAATATTGAATGAACCGCGCGAGATCGTTGATATTCACCTTCATTTGTACATGCATATTGTAAATTTCAAGATTCTGTTTTGTATCTTGTTTTAGAGAAATTTTCTTATATATTAATGACTGAATATGATTGTCGATCTGAATATGGAAGTAGAATGATCTATGCTTCACTTATATTATTAGTTTTCGACACAAATAATTTTTCTGTCTTGAAATTGATAAGTAAAGATTGTACAATATATGAAAAGTAAATTCACTCAAAAGCTTTCCCATTTTTTCCCCTTCATTAAAAAAAAACACTTGAGCATAGGGCTCTCACTTTGTACTTTGTAGTTTCTACTTGTCTTGTAAAACTCTGTCAATTGTTCGAAGTCCAGCGACTAAAAGTGGAGGATCGGCAGGTCTTTTTTAACCCTATCGACGCGTGAACACTGTGTGGAGGAATCCTTTCAGATCGACGAAGGAACGAGCCATTTTTTCCGGCGAGAGTCGTCCGTCGGCGACGGATCGGGACCTCCAATCTTTCTGTTTCGTTTCCCTTAGCGCGGACCAGGTGAGTTGGATTCCTTTATATTTTTTTTATTTATTTAATTTGACTTATTCTGCCGAATTAAAGCGGGTCTAAGAACAATGGCGAGGACCGAACCCAAAGGACGCCAATATATCATTTTGATTGAATCTTCAAACACTTTCCTAACATTTTGTCACTGCTACGTGTTTGGAATTCGCAAAATTTGACTTCTTGGATTTCAAATTACAATGGAGTGTATGGATTTCTAGTTGAGCTTTGTTGGGAATTTGGCTTAAATTCTAATATTTTGGATAACCAAAGATGTAGTTTGGGTCAAATTTGAAACTGAAATCCGAATTAGAATTCACTCACCAGCCTTTTTTCAATTCTTCTAAGAATTTTCATCGCATTAACAAATCTACAATTTTTTTTGTTATTTTTTTTTGAGTTGTGACATGATTTTGAGGATTATCTTTGAGTCAATAGTAATAACATTTTCTTTGCTTTTATGAAATAATGAAACTTAATTTAAAATATTAACCCAATAATAAATGTGAGGTCAGTACGAAGTACATTGAATAGTGTAAAAAAAGTTTTCATGTTCAAGCCTATCTAACCACTCGTGTTTTTTTAGAGTCATCTAACCCTAAGTTTCGGTACTATGTATATACAGTGATGTCCCATCATTTCAATAGTGTTTTATCAATCATCCTTTCTGTGGTGGTGCAAAAAGCTCCCTTAATCCCAATCCCAATCGCTTCTCTTCTTCTTCTTCTTATTTTTTAAAATTATTTACCTTTTTATAATAAATTGATGCCTCGCCCTTTTTGTTTTTTTCCAAAACCGATGGAGTTCAAACAAATAGCAGAAGACGATGTGTATTTGGATATCGGTGCGCAATATATATCAACAAATGATACCATCCAAGCCTAAGGTTGCAAGAAATTTCGTTGATGCGAAACTATGGAAACATGCCGCGTTTTTTAAAAGACATGAGTTTGATGCCGAAAAAAAGGTCAGGGACTTCTTGAACTTGGGGAATAACCCGGATCTTGATCTAAGAGTTATTAATAACACCATGGAGGTGTTCGTCACCTTCCCTATATATGGTGCTGCCTCATACATGAGTATGTCACAGACACTGCCATGTGGACGGTGACAGATTGACAAACACCACTGTGTTGCCTCATACATTGTGACGGACACCACCATGGTGTCCTTCCTCATCCTTATAACAAGATTCATCTTATTCCTTGAGTTCGGGTAGTCCTTGACCTTTTTATCATCATCAAGCTCGTGTACATTTAAAAACAGTGTCTGTTCCCACTGTTTTGCATTAATTACAACCTTTGTCTTGAGCCGCATGATGGTATCGTTTGGTCAGATACCTGCCCATCGGTATCCAGATTCACTTCGTCTTTCGCTATTAGTCTGAATCCCGCTGGTTTTGAAAAATAAAAAGGGTAAATATCAATTTATTATAAAAATGTAAATAATCCTAAAAAATAGGAAAGATAAGCCACCATGGGATAGGAATTGAGGGAGCTTTTTGCGCCGCCACATAAGGGATGACTAATAAAGCACTTGAAATGATGAGAGTATGGGACATCACTTTATATATATACATTGAGATCAAGGATTTGGTAGCCTTAAAAAATACGAGTAGTTAGGTAAGGCTCAAAGAGGATGCAGCTTTTTTTAGACTATTCAATACACTTTGTAGCTTGTACAAACCTCACATGTATTATTGGGTTACTAGTTTAAATTTACTGTCATTCTTTAAATATCTCTTGTTCAATTGTGAGGCAAAGTTTGTATAACCGGTTTTAGAGCTCTCATCAACATTTTCAGGTCAGAGTTCTAATATGGAAACTAACATTCTTGATCTGTGTTCTTGGAAGACTCTTTCGTTGAAGTTCTTCAAAGGAGGAGCAGTTTATTCTACTTGGCCTAAAATGACAGAAATATTCGGCTACACGACGTGCACACAATTATTGCAAATGTTTGTTGCAATAATATTCTTCCATGTTTCCGAGTACATTCTCGTGGTTTCCATTCACGGTAGATCAAATGTGACACTCAAGTCTCTTTTGATCAGCAAAAACTACATGTTGGCCATGATACTCTGCCTGATAGAGTACCTTGTTGAAGCACACTTCTTTCCCACTATGAAGGAACAGTGGTGGATAAGCAATTTGGGGTTGGGAATGGTTTTCACCGGTGAGATCATCAGGAAGGCAGCTATTCTAACGGCGGGTCAATCCTTCACTCATCTCATAAAAGTGAAGCGCGAGGAAAGCCATAAGCTAGTTACACATGGAGTGTACCGATATATACGCCACCCCAGTTATTGTGGTTTCTTCATCTGGTCTGTTGGCACCCAAATCATGCTTTGCAATCCGGTGTCAACGGTTGCATTTGCTGGTGTTGTTTGGCGATTCTTCTATGAAAGGATACCGTATGAGGAGTTTTTCTTGAGGCAATTCTTTGGTGCTCAATACAAAGACTATGCCAAAGGAGTTCCTTCCGGAGTCCCATTTGTGAAGTGATGATGCCATGCTCTTCACCTTTGATCTTAGGTTAGCCAGGTTTGACAAGGTTTGGATTTATAATCATGAGACATGAAATTAATGTAACTTTATTTTTTGGTGTAGTATTATTGTTGTATACACATGGTTGTTCAATGTTTTGATAAAAATCTAAAAAAGTCTAAGAATTTCTTTTTGTTTTTTTCTTTTGTTTTCTTTTTTGAAAATTTTTAGATATAAGTTATACAATTTCATAATTTAAAAAACCCAAAATATTATTTTGGAAACATATCAAGAATCGTCCAAGAACTAGACTGGAACAACACCACCCCCACCAATATCGATCACGGTTGGTGCCAGGAACCACCGGTACGGAAGCATACCATACCGTGTCTAGGCCTACTCATCCGTAGTGTACCTCATACGGAAGCATACCATACCGTGTCTGAATGGTTCACAATATTTTTTGATAATGTATATGATCATGATTCCCACTGTAAACGTATTTTAACTCTTATTTCAGAAACAAAGACATGAACTCTCGTTTTGGTATATTTTCAATGTTTCACTATTATTTTAGTCTTTTCTGTTTACACATCTTTCGTGTTTGAAAGATGTGTCGAAAGACATCAAATTTCCCAACAAGCATAACCTCTTATACTTGCTTGAGATGCAAATATCTAATCTATAGACTTGAATGACACCTCAAGACAAAACGACTTCCTCTACCATCAAGAAACTGGTCGGTATGCCACCCTTTGGCCTGCAGCTCAGATAGCAATGGAATGAAAACAGCATTCATCGTCTCGTAAGCCTCTTGCACCACATTTTTGCCCGAGCCTTGAAGTGATTTCTCCATAGCCGAAGCATATGCAGCAACCAGCCATCCCCTCAGCGCGTCTTCCCCAGTAGCATTGTGCTCCAATATCATGTCTGTGGATTTTGGCCCGCGGCACAAGAGAAACTTTTCTTCAGGGAAAGCCTCTTTGAGGTGTCTCAGGTGGGAAGGCCGAATGGCTTTGCTCAGAGTTCTTCCCACCTTAACATTCCCAGCATCCTCTATCATCTGCCCAGGAAACAAGATATCCTCTTGATATCGTAAGTCGGCTGGGCTAGACACTTTTCCTGTCTTCACAAAGTTCTTCACAATCAATGCAGTCCGTTGCGGGTTCAGTGTGTTGACAGGAGTAGCTTTCATTTCCTCGGTAACACAGTGGATGTGTATAGCGGCAAGGAGGGGTCCCACAACCATCTGCAGAACATGTTTCACAGAGAATGCATTGGAAGAAACAAGACGGCCAATGTAGATTTTCATAATGCTAGAGGTGCATCATTGTACCTTTCCTTGCGTTGATGAACAGATAGTGGATGCTAATTGAATCCCAGCACCGATTCCAAGAACATTAAACAGTGTGGATATGGCCTCCCCTTTTGCAAAAAGGTCACTAAGATTGCCTTCTTTGGCAAATGATGAATATATTGGTAATCTTGTTGCTCTTGCGGCAACAACTGCCATTCCCTGGTGATACAAAAAGGAAAAAACTACCACAGGAGACTTTAGATGCCAAATAAGAAGTAAAACATCCGGAAAATTTTTATACCGTTAAGGCAATTCAAGAACCAACAGACAACAAAAAAGAATGAAACAAAGCTGATGAGATATTTTACAGCCAAATGTATATATAATATATCCTTGTATCCCAGCAGCAAAGAGATGGTTAAAACATTAATCTCAGAAAAAAAGGATGATTGCCTTATAGCAATGCATTGTTACCTTTGCGAAATTGCCAAGGCCGGCCATCTGAAGAAACAATTGAGGACATAAAGGAGACAAAACTTCTAAACCAATGCCAAAGTCATAGAGAACATCAGCTGCAAAATCAGGATATTGGCAAATGAACACAACACGCAACATATGAAATCAAACTACAAAATAATGGGAGAAATTAAAAATCCGAATATTGTTTAGTATGCAAAGCTAGATAAAATCTATGAACCTAAAACTCGCCAACTCTTAGGCTCAGAATCCATCCTTGCCCCTAAGTTGCTACAGATAATCTTTCCCACGTGTTGCATCCCATCTTTGAGTATCTGTGTATGCAAATAAAAGTCCGTTTAACCATTTCAGAAGAAAATTCAGGAATGATTGGATAAGTTCTCCATACATATTAAGTTCATACCCAACTCGCAGCAGTTGCTTGTGCAGGTGTAGCTCTTAAGCCTGCAGCAAATAGTAAAGACTGCAATGATGTAAGATTTCAGAAGTATTGTTGCAATTCCAGACCCTACTCTTGTGGGATTTAACTGGGCTGTTGTTGTTGTTGTTGCAATTGAGTGTCTGAGGCAATTACATTGATAGTGTTCAATTATACTTCTGTAATTTACATAATGAAAATAGAATTTTTATGTGGAAAGATGCAAAAGTAGTCCAGAAATCGGTTTCCTTTAACAAGAAAATAAGTAATAACAGTATAAATCAGCCTATGGCTTCAAAGTTAGGACATGCCATTGGCTTCACGGTTAGAAGAAGACCTGAGTCGACAGTACAGATAAGGCTGCACTGGAGAAGTGTTGCAATGCTCGAAACTGTGTGTATCTAAGATAGCCTTCATTAACACTGCAGCATAAACGTAGCACAACTTGAACTAAGAAGAGGCTTGGATTTTAGCCAAAAATACATGAATGAAACTGTGCAGCAATACTAAAGAAAGCAGATGGTATAATCCCTAGACTAGATTAGATGAACTCACCTATATGGATACCCCGTAGGGAAAAATTTGTTTACAAAAGATTCAACCACTTTCTGCACACCAGATCTAGAATCATCAAGAACCTTTACCTGCACAAGGTATAATTTGAATCTCAAATGTGTCCCTAATCCCCTTTCAAACATTCATAGTGAACTAGTGAACATACTACCAAACATTACCATATACCTTCATCCAGAAAAAATGCTTCGAATTACAACTTCAGACCAAACCAAATCAAACATAACAAGGATATACTCGCGCTCATGGGTAAGGTCGGGAGAAAAGATGAACACAAACCTTACCTCTAACCAAGTGTAGAGAGAAGCCAAAAGGAAACCAAAAAAACATTGACACGTGATGTGAGTAGTCGAAAAACCTAACGAAACTAAACAATTAAGAGCTCATGGTCGACGAAAGTATATCCCAACTAGAGCTCATTGTAGTGTCTAAGAGACAACTTTGCCTATAACCAAATGTAGACGAAACCAAAAAGCATTGACACATAATAAGAGGTGAAAACCCCATTCTGTTAGCCAAAAACAGTTTCTAGAAAGAAAGAATCTAAAATATATGATGGCCGCCATTGCTGAAATGAATTTCCATCAGTAGAATCAAGCAAGCAAAAATGGGTAGCAATATAATAGCATCGGAATAGGCTTACAGATAGGTGACCATCGGATTCGAACACGAAGCGGCGAGATACAGAATTCGAAGTCTCAACCCAAAACACCGGAGTTTCCGGCGGCGGAGAACTCCCGCCCTCCGCTTCCATCTTCGGCATCTTTATCTTATCCTGCTTATCGATCGTAAGGTCAAGCAGTGAAAGAAACATCCAGAAATGAAAGAAGGGGGAAGATAAGATACCAGTAATGAATTCATGTGGAAAATTTGCAGAAGGATAGCGAGCGGGCGAGATTTGCGCCTTTTCCGGAGAAGTGAGGAGCTAGCAGGAAGAATCTAAGCCGGGTCACATTATATACGGAGTATATTCTGGGCCACAAGAAAAAAAGCCCACATGGAAATCGTGATCTCATATATGGAGTATTTCAACCATCTTCACATAGAACATGGATAAACTAGGTGCGACTAGTAACATTTCACAACTTTTCAGCACATTCTTGAAACTCTCAAAACTATTTGTGGTTAAAATGTCACACTTGTACTGATACGTCCATCTTCCTAGCAATAGAGTGCAGATAGTGGATGGTGACATGGACGTGGGGAAGTGGCATTTTGTGGCATTTCATTTTGCATTGCTTTTGTTTTCCAGTATTTACATTTCCTACGCATGTTTACAGTAGCTTGCATAAGAATAGGTCAAGTAGTTGGGTCAAGTAGTGTTCCTTGTTTGTTGCATGAATCTGAGGATCCATCTAAGGCTCTCTCGCACCTAAAACAGACTACTACGGTTGGTGCCTACACGGAGTCGCTCGAACAGCTCTCCTATCGAATTAATGGCCTTCTAGAGCCCTACCTTATTGGTTGCTATGTGGCTGGATTAAAGGATGAGCTGAGATACGTTATGAAGTTAAGCTGAAGAAACCGAGGAGCCTCCCTGTAGCAATAGCGCTCTCCCGCTTAATTGAAGAGAAATTCAATACACAAAAAAAGTCCACACCCACTGGCCGCTTTACCCCTACTAGCTCATCCGCCCGTGTGACACCCCACAGACTTGGGCTCTTGGGACCCCATCCAAATACACGTTCAATAAAAAAACCCTACTCCTCCTCCCCAAAACCAAGTCAGACGCATCACTAGCTCGGAAGCCAGAGAACGACGGGAAAAAGGCCTTTGTTATTATTGCGATGAGAAGTTTTTCCATGGTCACCGAATTGCTAAACCCCAACTTTTCATGATTTGTGAGGTCAAGAATGAAGAAGTTATCGACATCTCCCAGAAGTCTCGTTCCATGACATCACAGGCACCATACACACGCAAACTATTCGCTTGGTTGGAAAGATTGGTCACAAATAAGTTTTGGTATTGGTAGACAGCGGCAGCACATATAATTTTATCAACCAATCTTTGGTTGATAAGTCTGCACTGTCTATGAACCGGGACAGCAAGCTTGAGGTGGTGGTGGCCAACCAATGCAAGAACGTTTGCAATGTGTAGGTCAAGTTTGGGATCTTACATTAACCATACAAGGTTACGGAATCACTACGGATTACTATGTTCTTCCAGTGGCAGCTTGTCCGGTGGTTGCAATGGCTTAAAACTTTGGGGCCGGTGGACGACTCGACAAAAATGTTGGAAGGTATCAGGCAGAATACTATGGGTTCGTCTGAGGAATTATCTAGCAAGGAGCATCACAGTTTACAAGGGCTGGGATATTTGTTCTAGATCGAACCAGTCCACTTAGAATCTGGCGAGCAGTTTTCAACCTATCCTTTGGATCTACTTATAACCAGCCCACCGCATCGAGCCCACGACTATCGAATCTTGCTGAAGGCAGCTTCCGGACCAGTGAGTGTACGGCCTTATTGGTACCCATACTATCAAAAAGCTGAAATAGAGAAAATGGTTCATGACATGTTACAATCGGGGGTCATCCGACCAAGCCATAACCCTTTCTCTTCCTCCCGTGTTACTTGTCAAGAAGCATGATGGATCATGGTGCTTTTGTGTTGATTATAGGGCGCTTTATGAGCTCACCGTTAAAGACAAATATCTGATTCCCGTAATTGATGAGCTACTAGATGAGTTACAAGGCACTCGATTTTTCTCTAAACTTGATTTGCGCTCGGGGTATCACCAAATCAGAGTTCTGAATAAGACATCCATAAGACCGCCTTTCGTACTCATGAAGGGCACTATGAGTTCACTGTAATGTCGTTTGGGCTCACCAACACCCCAACCACCTTCCAAGGTCACCTACATCATGTTTTGCATATATTGAGCACCAATCACTTATTTGCCAAAGAATCCAAGTGCTCTTTTGGCATCCAAAAGGTTGCTTACCTTGGGCATATTATATTGATGCAAAATGTATTTTAAAAAATTATATATTTAAAATATATGTCAAAGCTTAACAAAACAAGTGATGACAACTCCATTTTATTTTATTTTATTTTATTTTATTAAACAGGTAATAAAAGTATGAAAATAAACTTAGTAAATTTTGATCCTCGAACACTAAGCAGGCAAATTATTTTTGTCGATACTCTTAAAATTGAGATGGAATTTTATTTCACTCATCAGTGTTGGGGCAAATTTACCACATCAATTGTCATTGTAGATACCCATATTGATATACACTTGTACTCCCTCCATCCTAATTTAAGTTGCATATTTACTTATTACTTGGTCAAATTTTAACCACGTTGTTAACCCAATTTCACTACCCATTTGAGAAAATAATGTATTCTTATGACTTACAATTTTGTAGAACCTTTGATGTAATTTTTTACTTCTCCGGTTTTAAAGATTGCCATATTTTAACTTTTTTAAACGTAGGGAGTAATATATAAATTTTATTTTTTTAATTTCTATTTTCAAATAAATTGAATTGAAATGCATTTACATTACCAAACATGATCATGTACATTACCAAAAAGTATAGTAATATGCACATGTACAGTGCCACATTAAAACCACATTCCCATACTGTGAAGTCTTATTTCGGGGAAAAAAAACATAAAATTCCTATTTTGATATTTTTTCTTTATGTTTTAGTCCTATTTAGGGTGATTTTTATTTTCTTTTTGGTCCTTCCGGAAATATTATTCTCATTTTTTTGGTATACTTTTTAAAGATAAATTTTAATAATATTCTTCTATTTTTTTATTTTTTAAAAAGAAAAGAAGACTTAAATATTTATAGAATGTGTATTTTTGGAAATATGGTACTTAAGTCAACGCGGCCCGAGTAAATATTTGACACGTTAAGCCAAAGAGACAAAGGGAAAAGGGAAAAGAAATGGTAAACCATTGAAAGGTCAACCATTGATGGAAGAACAGAATAGCGTGAGAATAATTGAAGAAGAAATAGTTTTGGACATGGTCTGGGGCAAAAAAGAAATAGTAACCCAATCCAGGGTTCATCATCATGATCATCTCGAGGGAAGAAGAAGAACCAAGATTCCCAGATGATAACAATAATGAAAACGGCGGCGGAGATAGTGAAGAAGGGGGAGGCAAAGGAACGTGGAAGCACGCGGCTTTCCACGTCGCCACCACCATAGCTACGCCGGCGGCGTTTGCTCCGCTGCCCTTTGCCGTTGCTTCTCTCGGTTGGCCTCTTGGTAATTAATTTCATTTTCAGCTCATCTAACCTCCCATACATGGAATCGACTCTGCATCCTCTCCCCCCCCCTTTTTGTTGTTTTGATTTGGAGGAGTTTCATTTGACCAAAACTTCCCTTGCCAAAGTCACTGTCTAAGTTGAACTTTACTTTTGAGATTTCAAGTATATGCTATCCTTAGACCTTGGTCTTTTGGGTTGGAAAAGAAAAAATAGAGTTAGAGGTTAGAAGAAATTGAACTGAGTTGGAAGAACTGAAATGAGTTGGAAGAAACTGGAATGAGTTGGAATTAGTGTCATTGCTTGGTTTAATAGTTAAGTGCAATTTACATTTCATGTGGGGTGTATGGTCATGATGTGTCACTCATGTAATGTACTATTACAATGGAAATCAGGAGTAGCTAGTTTGGTTAGCGGGACACTGATCGCTTGGTATTCTAGCCTACTGATTGCGTCACTTTGGAAATGGAACGGGAAGCTGCACCCCACGTATGGCCACCTTGCCCAAAGCATTTATGGTTGGTTTCTTTCTTTTTGTCCTCCTTAGAATAAAGCTGGATGTTATTTATCTTTCATTATATATAGGACCCATCATTATGTGTGAAAATGGTACTTAGTCAAAACCTGCACTTATTAAATTATGTTCATAAGCAGAACTTTTAGTGCTCAATTGTGAACTTGTGCTGTGTACGAAAGAAAGGTATTGATGTTTCACGCTTATCACGCCTATAACCAATCATAAATATGTTCTGAACTGGTGAAGGGCTGTGGGGTTTCTGGTCTGTTGCATTCTTTCAGCAAGTGGCTTCTCTTGGCAATAACATTGCCATTCAGATTGCTGCAGGAAGCAGCCTTAAGGTGACCCTTGCATCTTTCTTTCTCATTTTTTCCCTTCTTAATTTTAACTTGTCCTTAAGCTGATTTGCTACGACTAATTGCAAATAAGCTCGGCGTTGCAGGCAATATACAAGTACTACCAACCTGATGGGAGCCTAACTTTGCAACATTTCATCGCCTTTTTTGGAGCTTTTGAACTTGTTTTGTCCCAACTCCCAGACATTCATTCATTGAGATGGGTAAATGCTCTTTGCACTTTCAGTACCATTGGTTTTGCTGCCACAACGATAGGAGTATCGATATATAATGGTAAATCGCCCCGCACCTTTCCCCCTACCTTATTGCTGAAAAGTTTTTTCTTTATTTGAAAATCCCAATCTCTCTAGGAAAGAGGGTCGATAGAAGGTCAGTCGATCATCGTGTTCATGACAACATATCTTCTAGAACATTCAAGGCCTTCAATGCTCTGGGATCAATTGCCTTTTCATTCGGGGACGCAATGCTTCCAGAAATACAGGTACTTTTCAGATCAATTCCAGTAGATGAATTTCTCATTGCGTTCTGATCCTTGGCCGGTTTGGCTGTCTAAAACTCATTTCCCAGAATGCTGTGAGAGAACCTCCCAAAGAAAACATGTATAAAGGCGTGTCAGCCGCGTACGGCGTCATCATTTTATGTTACTGGCATTTAGCCTTCTTTGGGTATTGGGCATTTGGTTCAGAAGTTCAACCTTACATTCTGGCTTCTCTCACTTCTCCAAAGTGGACAATCATAATGAGCAACATCTTTGCAGTGATTCAAATATCAGGTTGCTTCCAGGTATCTACAAAGGGTCCGGTTCCATGGCCACTCTGTTTGAGCGGCCACGAAGAAAACTGGATATTTGACCCCAAAATCAACTAAACACTCACCCCGCAACTGACGTGAGTTGGGGATGGGCTGGGATCGGGACTGGGTGGGGGTTATAGGGGTAAGAACTATCAATTTTACGAACGGAGCACCGTAGGTGTTGCAATTGGGACAGTGTCCTCCGTGGCCACTCAAAGAGAGTCGCCATGAAACTGGAGCGATATACAAAACATGTTCCCTGCCCACAAAAAGAAACATCTCATTTACCTCTTAGAACTCTTTTAGTGTGGGATTAAGACTAACAATTATTATCTTAAGGGTTGTAAAATTGAAAATTGTTATCTTAGATATACTGCAGGCCAACATTTGCATACTTTGAGGGGAGAATGAAAATGCAATCGCCAGAGGAAAGCAGCAAAGGCAAATCCCGCAGGCTGCGCGAGTGCCTAATCCGTCTGTCTTTTACCACCCTTTACATGGGCATTGTAACACTAATCGCGGCGGCAGTTCCATTTTTTGGGGATTTTGTAGCCATCTGCGGAGCCGTAGGTTTCGCCCCCTTAGATTTTGTGTTCCCTGCGTTGGCACATCTGAGAGCCGGTAGGAGTTGCCGGAACACAAAGCTCCGGCAGGTTGTGAATGTCCTGAATGTAGCGATTGCCGTCTGCTTCTCGGCTGTGGCGGTTTTGGGATGCGTTGGTGCGATCAGGTTTATCATTTCAGATGCCAGAACCTACTCGTTCTTCCATGATATGTAGAATGGGAACACATAAAAAAACAAAAAAGTCATTTCTTTGTTTCTTTCAATCAAACTGCTGTATTTAAAATGTTTCTAAGCGTTCCCAATCATTTGATACATTTGTTCTATTATAAGGGTGTTTGGGAGTATGGTGAGTTATGTAAAAGTAGAAGTCATAATTTAAAAGCAGAAAGCATGTATTTTTAACTTTGTTAGAAATCACTTCTAGACCTAAATTTTAACTTCTAAAGTCATAATTTATAAGCTAAAACAGATTTGCAATTGTGTTTTAGTAAAATAAAAACTATAAGTTATTTTCAAATGCAATTCCAAACTTCCTCTATACATCCGGTTGTACCGGAAGTCCCCGTACAACAGGCAAATTGTGATCCAAGGCGAAGCACGCGATCGAAGAGGGAGCAGCCCTAGGTGATCACGGGAAGACGGTTGGCACAGAGGGAGCAGTGCTGCCGGATCTGTTTTGTACCTTAGGAGAGGCACGCTTGGACAACAGTAGGCTTGGGCGGCGAGGAGAACTGACGGACAATGATATCGATTAGACCATAATGACAATCGAGAACACCGATGATGTAGCTGTTGCGGAGCAAACTACCAAGGATGACTACGGTGGAATGAACATTATGTTGCTTCACAATGAACACTCCTTGTTTAATAATGAACATTACGTTATTTCAGAATCAACACTACACTGAGCAAACTTGGAACAAATAATATGTTGTTTAGAATGAGTTCTTTGTAAATAAGTACTCTTCGTTCCTCATATGTCTTTTCAGATACTATTCACTAGGTCAAACTTAACTCATTTTCTTTTTACTTATTTTTTATCCATTTCATAAAATAATTGTTTTGCCACATCTTGTATTGTAAAATTTTTTATGTAGTTTTTACTAGATATTCCCTCCGTCCCTGAATATTTGTTATACTACCTCCGTCCCAGTCTCCCAGAGTATTTGTCCACTTTTATTTTTACACCTTATCCAATACACTTCTTTAATCCATTTTATTTTGTAATTTGTATATTAAAAAATTATAGAAATTATATATTAATAATCTATATGTTAAGACAATCATACAAGATCACACATGACTATATTTAGGCTTACACATTGAGAGAATTTGATGAGTCAAAGTGCTTAGATGAACAGTTCCAAAAGTCAAAACTGGACGAATACTCCGGGGCGGAGGGAGTATCAAATATTTTCAAAGTATTAATTTATCTAACTAATATACAATATACATTGTATTTAATTATAGATCTAAGGTTGAATGCAGTTGACCGAAAAAGTCAAAATTGGACAAATACTCAGGGAGGGAGGTAGTAAATTTTATTTTTAAATTTTACACTTACAATCAAATAGACTGAATTGATAACAAAGTTGGTCAAACCTCGTAACGCATAATGAGAAGATCTATGGGGGACGGAGGGAGTACTAACTCCCTTTGTCCAATAATAATATTCTCGTTACGCGTTACGATGTTTGGCTGAATTTATTTCCAAATCATTTTATATGAAAAATCATATGGAATTAAAAAATAAAAATTACATATCTATAAATACATGAAAAGATTTACAAAACTAGAGGTGACATGACTATATTATTTTATCAAATAGGCAACAAAAATACGCCAACAAAATTAATAAAGTATGACCCTGTGAGTAGTGGACGAGAACATTACTATTGGACGTAGGTATTAATTCTATAAACGAATGTGTGAACGTGAACATTTTTTGATTCAAAATGAACTTTATAATGATTCAAAATGAGTATTCGTCAGGTCTACCTAGCTCTAGGTACACCAGGTTATACCGTAGATGTTCTTCGTTGGACATGTTCTATCATGCAATTATATCCTACTCCCTCCGTCCCATTTTATAACGCTTGTTTCGGTTTACGATGTTTGACTGAAAATATTTTCAAATCATTTTATATGACAAATGGTATATAATTAAAAATTAAAAATTACATATTAAAATACTACATCAAAAGATCTACAAAACTAGTAGTGACAATAGTACTTTATTTTATCAAATTGCTAATGAAAATAGAGAAAGAAAGTGAATGAAGTTTGACCCTGTAAATAGTAAACAGGCATTATAATTTGGGACGGAAGAAGTACAATGTGTACGAGAAGAACTGTACAACCGATGTTAATTTGTGCAATCGCGAAAGAAGAGCAGATTGATAAATTGAAACCCTTGATGTGGCGAAGAGGCGTGCTGCATTGTTGAGCACAAAGTTGCCGTTGTGAAGGGTTCACGAGAAACAGGTAGCGCAATCGTGCAAAGCGCCGCCACCCACTGTCCAAATCATGGGTAGTTAGGCGCACAACTTTAGGGTCGCGTTGTCGCCGTCGCGTTTGAAGCTCGGGGAGGTTGCGGCGATGGAGTTTGAAGCCGTGTAGAATGGTGGTGGTGGTGGTCTATTTATATTGGTACGAGCTAAATACCGTACCATACCGTCCACAACTTTCATTTGTACTCCAAGTCTCTTACCATAGTCATTGTTGTATATTATTTATCAAACCGACAACATAATACATGCTGACTCTAGGATTGATGTGAAATTATATATTTAGCTTTCAATTTAATAACGACGTGATAAAAGATCAAAAGTCAATGGCAATCATTGAAGCACGTTGGATTATTGCTCAAGAAACCAGTTTTTAGTCATTGTTAACTATACGTTGTTGTCTCTCGAGTTACCAATCGACGTGGTTTAAAGGTTTTGACTTGTAGTGATGACCTACCACCTTCAAATACAACAAGAAATGTAGAGTACAATGAAGTCTTTCAAAACCTTTAATTTCGTCCCTTCGTTTCACTATTAATAACTCGACATTACGATGTCGAGTTATTAGCTCCGTTATCTTATATACACTACTAATTTAATACGGAGTATATTATTTTCATTAACTATTTCAAACTAGGCAAACACAAGTTAGAAATCTAGTTTAAAGTTTAAACAACAACAACTCACTTGGATCTCACAAAGTAGAACTCAAGAAAGTAAATGTATGTATGTAGATCTTGTGTGTACATGAAAGTAGGGGGAGACATGGAGACATGCGGAACACTTTAATAAACCCCGTAATTAAAATTGATGCGATACCATCTAGAAAAAATTGATGCGATAAAAAAGTCAAATCGAGAGAGGAATCCGCAGGGGCAACTGGCAATTGGCAAGGAGCAAATTACTCCGTACACCGTGATGTTCCAGTTCTACTCCGTAAAAAGAAACTTTGCTTTCTTTCCCTCTCCCATCGGGCCTAGGGTTTCACGTCGTTAGTAACTTGTTACTGGTTCCTCCCCAATCTATTTTTCATCCACAAAATGCGGGGCGGTTATAATTACGATGCTTTCATGTCCGGTACGGCGGCCGCCGAAACCCCCGGCGGTTCCCGATTCCGGTCTCTAGCCTCCTTCGCGCCGCTGCGGCCATGGCGCGAGCTCTTCGCCCACCCCTCCTCCTATTCTCTTCCACATTCCCTCGCCGATCTGGTCTCCCGCCTCCGCCTGAAGCTCGGCATCTTCCGCATGAACTACGCCCTCGCAATGCTCTTCATCCTCTTCCTCAGCCTCCTGTGGCACCCCACGTCGATGATCGTCTTCCTGCTGGTGTTCGTCGCCTGGTTCTTCCTCTACTTCTTCCGCGACGGCCCACTGGTGGTCTTCAGCCGCATCGTTGACGACCGGGTCGTTCTGGTTGCTCTGAGCGTCGTGACGGTGGTGTGTCTGGTGCTTACTCACGTCTGGCTCAATGTTCTGATCTCCTGTCTGATCGGATCGGCGATTGTTGCTCTCCACGCGGCATTCAGAGTCAACGACGACCTGTTTCTCAACGAAGATGAAGCGGCAGAGAGCGGATTGCTCTCCTTCGCCGGCGGCAGCGGTGGCTCCGGCAATCTGCCGCCTCGAGTGTCTCCTAAAACTGGATCTTCAGTGGTAGGGGTAAATCTGTAATTGTGTAAGCACTTCCCTTTTTTGTGTGTGAAGAAACTACAATGTGTGTTTTCGAATGGGATTTTCAGTTCTCATAGAGCAGCAACCAAAATAAACATTACATTCTACAAAACATAAAGAGTGGGATGAACTCATCCTGTAATTATTAGCAATATTGTTATTATTTCTCAAAAGAATAAGGACTTGATTTGTCACAACATCTCTAGATGAATTTGAATGAGCAGTCTTCAGAGGTTTGAGCGCCCGCGGGTTGAGCCCGGTGACGCCCGTATGCCAACATCATCACGAAATCCTTTGCCGAAGAACCAATTGCGGCAGACACTCTCTTGGGGGTAGTCATTTCAAGCCACAAATCAACCAAGTTTTTGAGCTGTAGTGTGGGTGCTATTGATTTCCCCATACATCTAATCTCAACCTGTTGCATTGACTTACAAGAATGTAAAACATGACCAAAAAATGCTGCAAATGTTTTGTTTCACCAATGCATTTGTCTTGAGAGCAATAAAATATGCAGTAAATACAATACAAAGCTTCTGTTGCAGTATTCACTCGAATTTTATCCAAATGCTTCTCCGTTTAACTGATAAAATTGATCAACTGAAGGGCAAAAGGGTTAAATGGGAAAATTACCTCGCCCTCACTCTTGAGATCTAACTTCCTCATCAAGTACTTTTGTATATAAGAAACTGGAATACTCCCATCCCTGCCACATAATGAAACAAGAACAAAACCAGTGGGTGGCTTCAGTTGCTTATATTGTACAGTTCCAATGTACAGATTTACCATTCTAAGTGAATTGCAATGATGTCAAATACATTAAGGCATCTAAGGTATACCAAGGGAACCCTGATGTACTTGAACATTAAAGTGCTGGCTCAATTTGAAGAGTACGAAATAAAGATGTAGTAACATATTGTAATTGCCCCTTTGCAGATTTTTTTAAAATGGATTCAAACTTCACGAGCAAAAACCACATAAAGATAAAATCGATACAAATAAAATCAACTATGAGCATTTTTTGGGGAAATGGACTTATGGACAGATCAAAGAGGTAATAGAGTTGCCCCAATAAGGCAATAAAAATGCAGAGTTATGACTAAGGGAGCAGAAGCAGAGATAAGAACAAGATCACTCACTTTATTCTCAAGTAGCTTGCAGAAATCTGGGGTAGGGGTGCTTCTCCTTCCCTGAACCAAAATGACAATGAAAATTTGAAACCATAGAAAGCATAAGTGACAAATTAATCCACAGAATCCGAGAGGTAACATAGAATCTCACTGGTTTGCAGATGCCACAAGCGAGAACCAAATTGGTTTAGCCCTTGTTTCAGATATAGCAGTTGTTGCATCAACCACAGCTTGTGGTGAAACACCAAAGTCTCCAGAATTTGAAGCTTTCTTTCGAACTCTTCGTATCTTTTTAGGGTTTTCTGATACGGGATGGGCATGATTACCGTTACCAATGTTGTAAATATTTAATTTGACTTTGTGAGCTTGGCCCTCATTGTCAGCAAGATGTGTAGGTTCAGATTGGGCACAACCTTGCAAAGTAGACCTTGAAGGCTCGGTCATTTTTGCAGCTTCACCTAGACAGCTTAGAGGTTTCAACAGATCAGCTTTTCCATTACACTGCTCAGAATTATTCTCTGTTCCTCCTTGATCTTGGCCAGATGGCTTGGCATTTGAAGAAGATTTCTGTAAATGAATGAACATGATAGAAAGAAGTTCTAGACAAAGACGTTGACGGAAAAATCATAAGAAATCCCATTGCAAGCAAACTTAACATGTCTTACATTTTGGGTGAACTTGTTAAGAGTCTCTGGCGAGCTAGAGCTCTCAGCAGGCTGATCCTCTGTTGATTTTTCTTCATTCTTCTCAATGGGAAAACTGGAACATTCTTCATTCCTCAGAGGTTTCTCAATGGTAAAACTGGAACATTCTTCATTCCTCAGAGGTTTCTCAATGGGAAAACTGGAACACTCTTCATTCTTTAGAGGTTTCTCAATGGGAAAACTGGAACCTTTCATTGGTTTTCTTGCAACAGATTTGGATCTTCTTCCTGTCATCCCACCAGTTTGAGTACAAGAAACACTCGGTGTGCTGACCACTAATGAAGAAAGTGATCTCTCCTTTCTCCTCACTGGTTGTAATGTTGTAACTGATGGCAAAACAATTTCAGCTGCCATAGTCACTTTTTGTCTCTTGTAAGGGAAGATCTTCAGCCTCACATCTTGCAAACTATGATCGGCTCTGGAAACAACATAACCAACTCTCACACAACATACCCAGTATAATCCCAACTCTAGTCCTAACTCTGATGGACTCCAAGGTCAAAATGTACACAATCTTAGCCCAATAAAAAAAAGAGGTTTCCCTAAGACCCTTTATGCATTCATGCAAGTACTGCCCAAAACTTCATAGAAGTAAGAAGCAATGGAAGGTCAATGTGACATTTGGATTTAGTCCATTGTTACATGAAGCTAAAACACCGTCATGAATGAATGTTTAGCTCCATTGGCATTGATGCAACTCTTACTGTCGCCCTCATAATTAGAAGGTGCTGAGAAATATGGTTTTTAATGGGGGAACAAGAAAAAAAACTAATCTTTATAACGGTTGTATGTAGTGCAGGTGGTACCACTTGCTTAGCACAACCCAATATATATTAACACTCCCTCCCTCCCAAAAACCATCACCCACTTTGACTTCCACAAAGTTTAAGAGAAATGTTGAAAAGTAAAAGTGTATAGTTAAAATTTGTTTAGACGAGAGAAATCTTGCGAGCTACGTATTCATTACTAAAAAAGGATATAAAGTAAGTGAGAAGTGTATCTTTAGACGTTAAAAAATGGAAAGTGGGTAAAGTTTTCTTGGACGGAGGGAGTATCACCTCAGATTGTAGCGAACTCAGCTTATGTTGCAACCATCAATAACTTTTAACCACTTTAACTCATGAAAACTATCTGTCACCTAGCACAGATTTTTTTTTATCATTGGCTATTTATAAAAATTATCTGCACTCCCTAGTTGTGGGGAACTAGATGGGAAACACCATAGTTCTCAAGGATTAATATTAATATCATCATTATTTTCTTAAAATGAATCTATACACACTAGCAAAAAGTAACAACAAATTCTAGCAATCTCTTTCACCTTTTCAGTTCATTATCATATGGTTTTCCAGACTACAGAGAGATTAAAAGATATCCCAGAGTTTGAATGTCAGCAAATTATTGAGTACTTAAACATGAATTTTCATGCAAGAACAAAAAAAAAAGGAAAAAGGGAAGGCGCAGAAATTGCTAGAGAGTTGTAGAAACTGTCTGACCTCAATTTCTCGACTGGGACACAGCCTAACTCAATGTTACATATCGGGCAGCATTCTGTCTCCTCATCCTGAAGCTTCTTATAAATGCATTTCCTACAAACTGATGAGTAAAGTAACACACTATCAAAAGGCCTTCCTCTTCATCGCGGCCGAAAATACAATGTTATAAATTCCAGTTCACCTAATTTAAGGAAGAACGATGGAGGAGGAATGGCAACAAATGTATAGGACAATCAAGCTATTATAAAAGTCATAACGATAAGCACATAAAAAAACAACAGAAAGCTGCTAAAATTCTTGCCCAAAGCACTAATTTAGCTTCCCAGAATGCTCTATTCCCAAACAACTAGAAAAACAACTCTTTTAGCTCCGCGAATCGACAATCAATGGATGGAAGAGAAGCCAAGCGCCACAGCACAAAATTAACACAGTTTGGGAAACTGATGTGAGGAAGAGGCAAAGAATGGAATTGGGAGCAGAGAGAAAGGGGGACTCACACGTATGGAGGCACTCAGAGATTGTGGTGGCCTCTCTGAAGAGCCTATGGCAGAGGGGGCATGTCATGCATGACGCAATCGCCTCCCTCCTCACCTTCACCACCTGATTCGCCGCCATCGCCTCCTCCTCGCCGCGGCGGTGCATGTCAGAGCCGCCGCATGAGACACGACGGCACTTTACGTCGTCCCTGCACCACCTGCATTAATAAACTCGACACACACACAAAAATAGAACCCCGCAGATTGCGGGTCGGGCACGGGTTAATTAAGGTCTGGGTCGGTTTAATTTGGCCGGAGTTGGGGAGGGTGGGCGCCGGAGATGATCCGTGTATGGGGGAGTTCTGGGAGCCCGTCCCAATCGAGAAAAGTTCAAACTCACATGAACGAACGGGGAAAACTGGTTCTTGGCTTTATGCACACCACTCTATTCTTTTGCCTCTCTAAAACAAGACTGGTCATGATATATATATATATACTCTCGCACTCCCAAGAGAGGCATAGACGAATGAATCCTCAGTAATTTTGCTTTAAATTTTAACGAGGGGTAGTTCTCTAATTCATGAAAACTCAGGTCAGAATGGATGATCTCCAAACACGCCACAACCTATGCGTTCAACCTTTTTTCATTGGATCGTACAAAACAAAAGCAAAAACTGCGCCAGGGTGCAAAGTAACCGCTCCTACCTCATCTAACTATATACTCCGTAAAATATACAATGCTAGGATTGGAACCGTGTCCCCGCCCATTTCTTTGGGCCTAATTGGGCTGCCTCGGGCTGGGTAAGGATGGGCTGTTGGGCCGACTGCTTTTGGCTGCCATTGGAACTGCTTTTCAGATGGCAATTAATGCATTGTCATATCAATGCTTTTGATATAATTAAAGTGGTGCACTCTTCCATAAAGTTGATTTAGAAAATGTGTGGCTCCATAAAGTTATTTAAAAGGTGCGTGGCTCTAGAAAGCAAATCAAATACAATCCAAGCAATTAATGCACTTATGCATTAATACTGTGTGCATTTGTATATATATAGAATGTTGTAATTGCTTGGCTATACACATCTCATACACCGAAAAAAAGTAGCATTAGAAAATTCACAACAATGGCTCTAGCTCCACAAAACAATCGCCGCTCAATGTTTGCTCCTATTTCCGACCTAAACAACACTAAAAAATCATGGATTCTCATGTTAAGGGCTGTGCGTGTTTACTTTGTGCCGAGGTGGGCAAAAGGCGGGGATTCCATGGAGATCATATTTCACGATGAGCATGTATGGTATTCCCCAAGTTTGATTTTACTTTTCGAATTATAAAATCTAAATATCTCACATACTTTTTTTTTGAATATGGAAATAGGATTCACGCTCATCTTAACCGACCGGAAAGAAGTAAATTTGAAAATCAAATCACCGAGGGTGGTGTTTTTGCCATTCGAAATGTGTTTGTTCATGACAATTATCAGAGTTTGAAAACCACTTCAAATGATAAGATTTTGGGATTTTTCCAAGACACCGAGGTGAAAACTTTGTTTTGGCTGGATTTCCCAAGCTTCATGTTTGACTTGAAGTCATTTCTAGTTATTCAAAGCCAACCGTGTTTGAATGATCAGCTCTTGATTGGTATTATTTTTTAAAAAAAAAATTCGAGTAAATATTATTTGGCAAACGTCAAAATTATTCGGAAAACACGTTACACTCTTTGTAAATCACAAAATATTAATGCAGACGTGATTGGAAAGATAGTTGCTCGAACAAGTGTTCAAACAAACTCAAAGAGAGGGTTGGAACACAAGTTGATGGAAGTTACTCTAGAAGATCATGAGTATGAGTTAATAATTGCAAAAAGATTTTTTAAATAAGAAAATGCACATTTAGATATTGTTTATGATTCACTATTACACGGGAAATCGTTTGGGTTGCACACTATGGGGAGAATACGTGGACCGATTCATGGATTGTTCGACCCAAAACAACCAAGAACCGGTTATTATTCTTTTGAGCTTTTGCCGCCCGAGACGCTATACGGGTAAGCAACATTATTATTTTTATTTTGTTCTTCGTTATTTAAACATGAACAAAACTTAATTTGTTTGCCCATGTTTTGTAGGGACTGTGACTGTATCTACTGCATTTCATGTTACCAAAATGATTTTCGATGGTAATTCTCCCGAGGTTGAAGAATTTAGAGCAAGGTATATCATTTCTTTCTAAATATCAAGTAATTCAAGTGTAAATGATAAATCTACTTATGTAACGTGTGGAAAAATATACACAGGTTGCCTCCACAAGTGGATGACGGAATGGGGAGCATCGTTCTGAACGGTGGGGATGCCGGCGACCAAGGTGTCATCAAAACAACAACAATCAAAGCTCTTTTGGACAACATGAAGGTGAATACCGAACTTTTAATATTATAATACCGAATAAATCATATCATGCTTAAATTAAAAAACAATTAATATTAATTTTTTTTGGAGTGCCTGGGACTTATTGGATTCTCGGGGAGATTGCTTCACTAAATGATTCAAGTGATTGGTGCTACTTGGGTTGCACAGAGTGCAACAAAAAGGTCATTCCGGATGGTGATAAGTTCAAGTGTTCGGGTTGTGCAGTTATTAGACCGCATGGGGTGTATAGGTAAACAACTAAACATTGATGCATGTTAAAAATAAACATATCACATATTCGGTAATATCCATGTAATAGAAAAAATAAAAATGCTTCAAACTTTATTTAATAGATACAAGGTCAGTGTTCGAGTCTATGATCACACCGGTCACGCTTCATTCGTACTTTGGGACCGAGAGTGTAAAGAAGTCTTGGGTGCAAGTGCGTTTGTACTGAGGGAAATAATGCTTGAGGTTTGGAAAAAATTATAACTTCCAGTTTTTAAGTAATTAGGAACTTAGTGTATTTCCCAAAAACCGAATTAAATTGTAATGTTATTCTCTTTTTTTCAAAAAGATATGGACCCAAACTTCCTTTACCCCTTGAACTAAATCGCTTCCTTGGTCGGAAGGGTTTGTCCCATGTAGTGGTGAAGTCCGTAGTTGGGAGTCCAAGTTGGAATGGACCAAGGGCTTTTGGGGTGAGGTCTTTAATTACCGACCCTACGATCTTGAGCAAGTATGAACATTTGATTGTGATTGAAGATGAAGAAGCTGACATAGAGAGTGAGGGTTTATGGGCATCTCTCGAGGATTTGAGCCAAAAGGTGCATGAAGTGGTAAGCTAATATTTTAATAAGTGTGTCCCCTAATACTACTTATTGTTATAACATTACTAAGATTTTTCGTACTCTTATAGATTGGTTCAAGTGATCCAATGTCTAGCCAGAGTGTCAATACCAAGCCAAGAATGATGCTCGATTTGGATGAGAGTGAAACTTTGAAGAGGAATCTATTTGATGAAATTTCAAAAAGTGCTAGCAAGAAAATGAATATGGAAACTCCTAGAGACTAAACATCAAACTCCTTGGGACTGAAAAATCATTGTCATTTTGTATGCTTGAATACCCCACCTATTTTTGTGATGCGGTTTGTTATGGTGTGGGTCAATTTCGGGTTTTATAAACCTTTTTTGTTATGGTATTGGCTTTAACTTTTGAAAGTCATATTGTTTTAAGTTTTTTTGTGGCGTAAAGAATCTTTCACTATGCATTTCTAAATTACATTCAATAACTTGAGAGATTTAGATAACGTGATCTTAACAAGCATTCCACAACACTACAATGAGACTAAGCTAACACAATATATAGCATAAAACCATTAACATTACCACAAATAACCTGAATCACCAAACATAGAATACAGGATTAAAAGATTTTAACTCATATAACTTTTATTAAAAAAGAATTACTGATAGACCAAGGAGTTTGATCAAGTGGGATTTTTTGTAGTGTCATATATTACATTTAAAAGTGCATTCGGCGTGCGGCTCAAGGTTAGCAGCTCAGGGTGCAATAACTGTTTATAAGAATATAAATCAGCATTGAGAATGATTGGACACACTTATTTTTCGCAATTTAAATTTGTTGTACAGCTCCATACACATGGCCCATGCTCCTTTACTATTTATTCATAATATTCAAAATGAATTTAAAAATAAAGTATTTTTAATATCCGTGAAAGTTCAAAAAAAGTAGTCAAGGGAATCAAAAACTTTAAACTTGATTGGTTATTAAAAACACAATTAATGAATCACTTTGGAATTATTTTAATAAAAGATTAAGAACGTTTAAAATATTCAACTTCTCATGTTTTGAGATTGTGGTTCATATTGAGTGGGATTTGGTATGAAAGACCTATTATGTTGCCGGATTTTTAAAAAAATCGGGAATAGTTTTGGGTATGGGCCTGCGTTTGTATGGAGTCGATATTTGCTATTTGGCCTTTTGATCCGCTATTGACATGGTTATTTGGCTGTCCATGTACTTGGACAGCCTACACCAACACCGTCACACCAACAACGATCTGCCCATTTAAACTCATTCAACCTTCATATAAATATCAAATAATAAATATAAAATGAGATTTATTTCTACTTTCAAAAATTTAAAAGAATATTATAATATATAAATATAATATATATATATATATATATATATATATATATATATATATATATATATATAATATATATAATATATATATATATACACACACACACATAATTTTTTTCGTGGTTTGAAGAACATATTTAAATGTATATTAAAAATAAACATTTTAGTGATATTAAATATAAAACAATATAGTGATATCATTATGTAGGTACAAAGCATTAAATACAGCCCATAGACACCAACAGCTCACGCCTAGAGCCAAACGCCGACATCATATCAAGCCCAATAAATGACACTTACACATCACCTCTGAAACAGAAATTTAAAAAAAAATCCCTTTTTAATTGTTAAAAAGATTATACTAAACATCCATTTTTTTTTGCTAAAATGTGTCTTTAACACTAAAAATATGTGAAGTTCAAAAAGATTTTGATGCTTTTTAGTTTCGTTTTTTAAACATACGCTACCTTTTTTAATTCGGATTTTGATTTAAATATATACACATTAATGTTTTCGAATATATATATATATATATATATATATATATATATAAATTCACACGTCTAAGAATAGCATATCATTATGTAGGTACAAAACATTAATGGCGTAATGTTTTAAAAAATTATTTCAAAATATATATTCATATTGAAATTTTTTTAAGTACCAGAAACATATTTACATAAATATTAGTAAAAATCATTTTAGTGATATTAAATAGAAATCAATATATGGAAAGAATAGGCCTTAAGTATATATTTGAAATGTATATATATATGTGTGTGTGTGTATATATATATATATATTATCTATATATATATATATATATATATATATATATTGCTTTGTGAATTTGTGAATAATATTAGGTAACTCCGGGGTACCTCTTTGAATATATATATATATATATATATATATATATATATATATATATATATATATATATATAAAACCTAAAAGCAGCACCCGAGGGTGTGACAGAGCCCAGGAAAGCTCCGTCTTATTTGAATTAAAAAAAACAAGAGTACAAGAGGGGGTGGGCTAAGCCCCAACAGTAGCCCAAATGAAACCCCCAAAAGAAAACCAACAATATCAAAGCCTATTCCCTGAAATATATAAATATAAAGAACCAATGGCATCCCAACAAGTATTTAGTAAACAAACCTAATACAAATCAAAAGGGTTACAATGAAATCACTTCCTCTTGCATTGTTTGTCACCAGCTTGTTGACCCTTATTCTTTGTATTCCCTTTTTTCTTTCTCTTTTTCTTGCCTTTACCTTTACCCCGATGATCTAAGTCTTCCAGAACGAGGTGTGGTGTTCCTGGACCTGTTCAGAATCAAATAAATCAGGGTCATCTTCTAGTATTCTATCCCCAAACAGTAAGCTTTGTTCCTCTTCCAAAAGACGAGAACTATTACTCTCATGATCTCTAAGTCCCACACTAAAAATAGTATTCTTTGGTGAACTCTTAATCATCATTAAATCATTTTGGAGATCCTCTGCTTTAAGGTTTAGAGCTTCCATATCCTTTAAAGATAGTTTAGATGGCATAAGACTTCTGGGGTAGAATGGAGAGGCATGAAATGATAGTTTATCTTTGGTTGAGCTTATGATTACTTGTGAAGAGGAGCGTGCAATCGAGTGAAAAACTCCAGTCCCGGGCTGTACTGAAGAGGAAACTGCCAGTGCTAAACCAATCCCTTCTACAGGGGTAATTTGAGAGTTAGAGTCTTGTAGTTCAAAGTCAGCAATGGACTTGAATTTTACTCCTTCTCTTAGCACTATGGAACTTATTGCCACATCTGTTGGAGCACCACAATCTGCCTTTGAATTTCCAGCTTCCCAAGTTGACCCATCAACTGTTACATTTGAAAAGGAACTCGTTCTCGTAGAAGCCAGAGCAAGTTGCATCTCTTTAGACAAAGACATTAAGGAAGAATCATAAGCCTGATTGCTAACAAGTTTCACCATACTAGAGCTCAAGAGGGGGTCAGTTATGGTTGTAGAATTTTCAGACTTAGTAGACTTTAGATAGCAGCCAATGTCTTTATTAAACAGAGCTTTGGAAATGGTCTGAGCATCAGGGGTTTCCTTCTCAAAAGAGTTTGGGTATAAGCATCTAGTATCATCAACCCATAATTCAGTACTATTATTATCAAACATCATACCAGCCGATCTAAGCTTAGCAAGGAACAGTCTAAAACCATACCTAGTGTAACCCTCAGGAACAGGGGCGGACCTACGGTTGTGCAAGTGGGTTCAATTGCACCCACTCCAAAAAAAATTATTTATTAGTAGTAGTATGTAATTAGCTATTATATGTAGATTAAGGGCATCCAAGAAGAGTATATTTATATGTGATTAGGTGCTATTTTTTTGAAAATGGAACAGAGAACACCTTTTATAATTGTGTAGAATTTTATGTTTTAATTCTTTTAGATTTGGAAAATTGATTTAACTTTAATTACGAAACTTAATTATAAAATGTTCAATTTTTTTGAAATGTANTGTTTTAAAAAGATTCCTAAAATATACTTAGTATTTGAAGAAATTTCTAGAATTAATATTTTAGTTGTTTAGTTTTTTTTTTCTTTTTTGGTTAAAGCAATGAACGTATTATATTTATTATACAGTATTTCAAAAATATTACATACAACTTGCAATATTTATCTCAGAATGCTATTTATTGATACTTTTTTACCTTGTTTTAAATTTATTGCTATACAAATATCAAAATTTTCTTTTTGTGCACAAAATGTGAACCCACTCACCGAAATTCCTGGGTCCGCCACTGCTCAGGAACAAATATTGAGGTGGAACCATTTTCTCTCATTTCTGTTAACTGAACGAAAAACCCAAAGGAGTTCGAATCAAAAGAGAATCGGAAATCACGGGTACCTTCCTTTTTGCTCTGAACCCAACTGGTGAGCACTGGTCTTTGGAGAATTAAAACGAAGCATGAACAAATCCAGATAAGGGCACTCTTGTTTATCCAAAATCGATAAGATTTGTACCTTCGTTCTTCTGAGATCTCAAGGAATTTAGCTTTTGAAACATTGAAGGAGAACCTTTTTGACTGCACCTTAAATCTTCCGTTGGCATCTGGACCAGTGGACCTTTGAGCTTTGAGCAATTTTGGATTGCTTCTTGAATGTGCCGTTGGGAGTCGTCAATTCCTTTCCTAATTTGCAGGTTCGATGCTGTTCTTCCGTCGACTAGTTTTCCCACCGGCGTAGATCTACGTTGATAGCAGCGGCTAGGAATGGAAACCCGATCTCCAGAACCCCCCTCTCTCTCTAAGCCCATTTATATATATATATATATATATATATATATATATATATTGCTTTATCCTTTTTAAAGATACTCCCGTTATCCTCCATTTTGAAAAAGTTAACTATCGGGTAATTTATATTTTTAAAATATATTTCGGGATATCTCCAAATGTATATTAACTTATCCGTGAAGGATATTTTGTTTCATCCGAAAGTTTCCATTAAACTAGATAGATCGTATCCAAAAAGTATAAGAACCAATGTTATTTTTGGAATTCCAAACCCATGCATATTTCTTAAAATTAATGGCGTAACTGCTTTGACGAAGAATGAGACGGAATGTCCTTCACGGGTAAGTTAATATATACTCACTCCGTTCCAAAAAGATTTACACCTTTCAAAAAAATTGCGTCCTACAATCTACTACTCATTTCTATTAAAAAACCACTTTTACCCCTTACTTTTTCAAACCCTACCTTTTTCCTAATAATCTACACATCACATCCTACTTTTACCCATCACATCAAGGGTATTTTTGAAAAGTCGACACAAAATTATCTCTCCCTTAATTTCAACTTTAGTCAAAACGTGTAAATCTTTTTGGGACGGAGGTAGTATTATATTTGGAGGTACCCTGGAGTATATTTTAAAAGTATGAGGTACCCGGTAATTAGTTTCTCAAAATAGAGTGTACCTCGGAATATATTTTAAAAAAGTGAGGTATCCAACATTTAGTTTTTTAAAATAGGGGTACCTAGAAACAGTTTTCTAAACAAAAGTGTGAAAAGCATTTGATTCAAATTTCTTTAATTTTCACGATTAAAGAAAATGTTATGGGTGTTAGTAATTTTTCCAATTGAAGTGAACAATTTTTGATCATCAACTAAATATAAATAATATTATGTATGAATATAAAAATGATTTAAAATAACTATAAAAAAGCAAGCTAAATATAAATAATACTTGGTCCGTCCCTGAGTGTTTGTCCACTTTTGACTTTTGGAACTGTTCATCTAAGAACTTTGACTCATCAAATTCTCTCAATGTGTAAGCCTAAAAATAGTCATGTGTGATCTTGTTTGATTCGTCTTAACATATAGATTATTAATATATAATTTTTATAATTTTTTAATATACAAATTACAAGATAAAATGAATTAAAGAAGTGCATTTTGGATGGTGTGCAAAAATGAAAGTGTACAAACACTCAGGGATGGAGGGAGTATTACGTATGAAAATAAAAATTATTTAAAATAACTACTCCGTATAAAACAACAAGCTGAACAAACACATTAAAACACATGGAGTGATAGACAATAAACTTTAATTTATGATAAAAAAAAGAGTGTAAGACTTATTATAAGAGGGAGAAGCATAAAATTATTATTAAGAACCACAAAAATGATAGTTTAACTTTAAAAAAATGAGGGTTTAAATTTACTTTTAAAAAAACCAACTACACACACCTGTAGTGCCGAGAGATATTGTCATTGTGTTGTATCAACCCATTCATGAAAATATGGATCAACGGTGGTAACTCTTTCAACAGTTCATAGACACATCATATATGTTTCTTAATTGAGTCTTCTAATTTGTGCTGTTGCATAGTTTCAACCATGTATATATGTTCCAAATCTATCCTAAAATGAAACACGAATTTGATTTGTGTTGATACTTTCTTAATTGAGTCTTCTAATTCTTCTTTTTTGTACTGCTTTTATCCACTTGACTTGGCGCATGGTTTTCAACTTCAAAATGTGAAGAAGAACTACTTTGTTAAACCTTGTGTGAAAATCATTAATTTGTCTATTGGTGTCTCTTAGCATGTTTTGTAAGTGTAAGTTTTGATGAATGACAAATAGTGTATGAAGTTGATGGATACCCTAGACATAGGGTATCTCGTCTTTATATAATATTAGTCAGGGTAGTCTAGTCTGTTGGACTTGTCATTAGTCATATAGTAGTTACTTATTTGGGGGTGGCCCCACCGACCCATTAATTTTGTATATGGGTCTAAACCCTAGCCTTGATTCTCCCCTATCTATACCCCTCTTCCTATATAAGATGGGATTAATTTGGAGAAAAATAGAAGGCATTAGAAATTTGCCTAAAATAATGAAAGGCGGGGTTAACTTGCAGAACAAAAAAAAGAAGATGAAAATACCGAAATTAGACGGCACACATAAGAATCCTCAAGAGGGCATCCCGACGCTAGATCCTGCAAAGGATCCTGGTCAACCATCTCGCCACTTGAAGGCCCGCACCTATCAAATGTCTTTGTAGGGGGATTTAAATTCCCACGAGCCAGGGAAGGGCACTCTAAACGAGGTGATGAGGACGGTCCTGCTTAGGGCACAACGTGTTGAGTCCTGCAGAAGACAATCATTAGCGCCATGCCGCTCCAACACATCATCAAAAAAGGAAAGAAAAGAAAAAAAAGGACAAAGGAGTTTCTCATATTCTGTCTTCCATGTACAAAGTGGAAGACCTCAAGGCATATTCAACTCTAGAAATGTTAGCGCTGTCTGCCCGCCTAGAAGAGATCAACATGGACAACCACAATGGGCCATCACATTTTTTACTAACCCTTGTTTTGCAGGATGAGCTCCCGCCCTTTTGCGAATCACACATTATTTCACCAAGTTCTTTTCTTGAGGTCGCGGCCTCAGCCACATCGTGAGGCAACTTAAGCCCTCGCCTCTCGAGGCCAAGGAAACCTAAGCCCTTTCCCTAGGTCGGCCCCAGCCACCTCTCAAGGCGCTCACCCATTTTCTTGAGGTTGGCCTCAGCCACCCCCTAAGTTACTTAAGCCCTCGTTTCCCGAGGCATCCTAAATCCTCTCCCTATGTTGGCCTTAGCCACCTAATGAGGTACTTAAGCCCTCTCTTGAGGTCGGCCCCAGCCACTTCACACGAGGCACTCGACATTTTTCCCTAGGTCGGCTTCAGCCACCACGCAAGTCACTTAAGCCCTCGTCTCTCGAGGCAACCTAAGCCCTCTTACAACCCCAGCCACCTAGCGAGGCACTCAGCTCTTTTCCCGAGGTCGCCCTCAGCCACCTCGCAAGTCACTAAAGTCCTCGCCTACCAAGGCAACCTAAGCTCTATCTCAAGGTCAGCCTCAGCCATGTCATGAGGCACTCAAGCCCTAGTCTCCCGAGGCAACGTAATCCCTCTCCTCGGACTTAGCCACCTCACGAGGCACCCAAGCCTTCATCTCCTAAGGCATCTCAAGTCTTCTACCGAGGTCAGTCTCAGCCACCTCACAAGGCACTCAAGCCCTCGTCTCCCGATGCAACCCAAGTCCTCTCTCAAGGTTAGCCTCACTCACCTGACGAGGCACTCAAGCCCTCATCTCCCGATGCAACCCAAGTCATCTCCCGAGATCAGCCTCAACCACCTTACAAGGCACTTAAGTCCTCGTCTCCCAAGGAAACCTAAGCCCTCTCCCGAGGTCTACCTCAGCCACCTCACGAGGCACTCAAGACCTCGTCTCCCGAGGTAACCTAAGCCCTCTCCCGAGGTCTTCCCTAGTCATCTCACTAGGCACCCAAGCTCTCGTCTCCTGAGACAGGTTAAGCCCTCTCCTGAGTCAGTCCCAGCCGCCTCACGAGGCATTCAACTCTTTTCTTGAGGTCAGCCTCAGCCACCTCGCGAGTCACTTAAGCCCCCGTCTCCCGAGGCAACCTAAGCCCTCTTCCAAGGTTGGCCCCAACCACCTCGCAAAGCACTCAACTCTTTTCCCATGGTCGACCTCAGCCACCTCGCAAGTCACTCAAGTTATCTCCCAAGGCACACCCTACATCCCACTTCCTAAGGCACAATTTATACTAGTCACGAGGTGGGCGATATTGCCAATCTTGTCGGCCAAGCCCACCATTTTATTTATCTTTGTATGAATTTTTCAAGTGTTAATCTATGAAGAGAAGTCGTAGCACAGCGAGGGGAACAAAGACTCCCGCCGGAGCTGAGCATGGGCACTACTCCCATTCACCTCGAAATTCCTTCTCAGCTTAGAGAGTGGGGGACTTCGGGTGCTCGGCTCGTTATTGTTACATCTCACATCATGAGAGCTTGGTAGTTCAACATCCCGGCCTTGTATCGCACTATAGCAGTTTGTAGCAGCATGCACTCTTTGCCTTTAAATTCAAATCAAACATTGTCCAACATGCCTTTAAACATATCAAGTTCAATTCATGCTTTCCAAACCATAAACAATGTAAACGAGACATAATTCACGTAGGGTTCACATAATTCAACTGTAATGATTCTACGAACGTAAGATTCAAACCTATGACTATAACCATACGTTAGAGGTCCAAGTACTCACCTCGAATTCGACGAATATACTAATGATAATACCACGAGTGCGGGAACACGACGATGAACTATCCTTCTTCCTTCTTTTCTTCTCCCTTTTCTCCTTCCTCGCTACTGCTGTTCTGTCTTCCGCTGCGTTCATCCGGTCGAGAAAGAGAACGAGAGAGAGAGAGAGAGAGAGAGATGAGTTGTGAGTGGGAAAGGTGAGAAATAGGCGTGTAGGGGTATATTTATAGGTTTGGGGTTTCGGGCTCCACATTTACTTAACGTACCTGGCCCAAAATGTACTTTTCGAGCCTACATGCTCCAAATCTGAATGCGTTTGCACCGTTGGATTCGATTCGTCGAATCCTACTCTACAGTATAAACCTTTTTATCAAACGAAAAATATTTCATAATTCTACCGAGTCCGTTTCAGTCATTAATTAATTATCTTTAATTAATTAATTCTGATAGGCCGGGTTTTAGGACGCTACATAGGCGCACTAGACGGGTGAAGAGCATGGTCCTGGTTAGGGCTCAACTTGCTTATTCAGTAACTTTTTAACACTTTAATTCTTCTAACATTTTCCAACTCTTTCACATTTTAACATACTATTAATTATTTCATTACATTGTTATCCCAAAAATTTAGTTACTCCTTATAAACTAGTGGTGAGTTAGACTCTTTGTATTCCATCTTAATTCAATTATTGTCGATTATTTCAAATTCATTTTAATATCCAATTATGGAATCTACTTTACCTGGTTTGCTTTCGTTCATTTATTTTTTTATCTTATTATTATTGGAGAATTTACTTAAATAGCACTAAAACATAATGATTTTCTCTAAATAGCACTACATGTATTTTTCTTCCCAATGTAGCACTTTTAGTCATTATCTATTAGTCATTATTCAAGTAAATATTCGTCATCACTGGACATTATGGACATTATTAAGTGCTATTTAGAGAATAAAACAATTTAAGTGCTATTTAGAAAAATGACTTAAGTTTTAGTGCTATTTAGTGCAAATAATTCATTATATTATTATTATTTAAAACAAGTCTGAATTTTGTTTATTATTATAATTGAAAAAGTCAATTATTGAAAAAAATTTGTCTCTAAAAAATGTAAATTATTGAAAAACTACCACCACTACTCTTACTACTCGAATAGATTAAAACATAATCTTTATTCTTAAAATATGACTGCCATGATTTTATTCTTAAAATAAGACCTAAACTAATTTTAAATAAAATAAAAAAACATTAAGGACCTGTTTGGCAATAGCGTCAGCGTTTTGAAAAGGCTATCTACGAGCAGTGTTTAGTGTTAGCGTTTTCAAAGTAATATGCATCATTAAAATTTTATCCAAAACACTAACGCTATTTCCAAACATGCTCTAAAGCATCTGGCATCTTCGTCATTCTTAATCACCCTTCTGCATTTCCGCTCATCTCTACACAATCTTCTTCCATTCATGTCATAGCCTCTGCTCGGGCAGCCCTCCGTCTCGACCATCACTATCGCCTCTGCTTCGTCCCTCTCCCTAGCTTCACCGTCTGCATCGTCTCCAATGCTTCTATCTCGAATCACGATCTTCTTATGCCATTTATTTGCACTCTTTTTTAAGAATATGTTTCTTTTCAACATATGTTGTTAATTAATCTCCCATAAATTTTTCAACATGTAAAATTTTCAATGTGTATTTGTTCAAAAAATAATTTAAATATAAATATTTCAAACACATAGAGGACTAAGGTCATGTTCTTCCCAACTTACTTTTTTTACTTATTACTTATTATTGTTGTAATTAGATCAGACCAAATCAAACTAGATCTGATAAAATCAAAATTTATTCCAATCAGATCAGAACCAATCAGATCAAATGAAGAAAACATGACCTAATATAAGCATTTGTATTATTTCAATTTTTAAATTTTGTTAGAAAATATTTAAAGACACTTTGAGAATATCAAGAGTCTCTTCAAAAATCAATTTATAATTAACAGTCTCGGAAATTGGCATGGTCATCAGCCCAAAGTAAATTAATTAGGGGTCTTTAATAATTATTGGCCTAGGATTTAATACTTATTTGTTGCCCTTAGGGCAACAAATATCACATTCCTTGAAATATTGAATATGTTTCAATCCTAGTCAGGTATCAATTCTTCCAAGAGCATTAATTGCCTAGATCGTTGCAAGTGAATGCTTACAAAAGTTAACAGCAATGCCAACTACTTGACTGCTCTTCCACCGCCCTGGAGGCACATATACAAAAACACAATCAGCATCTCAAGTTCAATCATGAATCAGCTAAAGAGGGGGGTGATTATCATCATTGGCCATGAAGTTTACACCCATGCTATGATCCTGAAGAGCTTCCATCCTTGAGTCCAATACAGCAAGTTGAGATTTCACCCATGGCGGATTATTCCAGCCTTCTACCCACAATGACTCACCTGTACTTTTGTGCTTGAAGTCTGGATATTTTGGGCTCCTCTGCAAAACATACATACATCATCATTAATGCATATTTAAGACGAGTCAATACATCATCAACAACTTCGTAATAATTATGTTTCCTTGTGTTGCATTTTCCTCTTTCACGTTTCTCACATTTTTGTTTCCGTGCGGCGCAGCTTATGAGCTTACCGATGCACTTCATCAGAATCATCTTAAAATTTTAGCCATATGGTAAAAGCCAATACCTTGTTTTTCCTATTATCCCACCATTCCATGGGGTTAGCAAAGAATGCTTGCCATAACTCCTCAACTGATTCTGTACTATTTGCAGCATAATTTTTTGGCTTTGTGCCTACAAGCGCATGCAATTTAATTGTATTAGCTTAAGTACAATAACTACTTATGGCAAATGTTGAATATAAAAAGTGACATAAATTGCATGGACAAATTATTGCCTGGTGTGATGGAGTTAGATTCCCCGTCATACGACACAGGTGAAGAAGTTTTCCTTTCAACAAAGTTCAGTTCATGAACAACCACCTACGGGAGATGATCGATATCAAGATATGTGAGATGCATAGTAATTCATATCGTAAGTAATTAGAAATAGAAATTGGAAAGAAAAACAAAAAAACAACCTTATAGTAAGTTTTTTGTTTCCCATCATCCCCTTCAACAGTATCTGATACCAAGCGACCGCATACATATATTTGACGACCTTTCTCCACATGTTGAAAAGCAACATGAGCCAATTCATTCCAAAAATTCAAATCGATCCTGAAAAGTTATATATTTAATAATTAGTTACCACATGATGGGCATTCTTCTTTATTATTAAAAGGAGATATTAACAGCCATTACAGCTTATTTCATGCACAAGATCTTTCTCCACCCAAAACTTAATAGTATGTAGTTTAACAAATAACATGTTAGCTACTTGAGACTAAAGATGAGCTCGCGGATTAAACATTGGACGCCCCTTGCAGTCCATATGCAAAAGTAAAATAGGTGAGATACAATATGAAATTTAGGTCACAGCTTTTTGTTCTTTACTTCTTTTAGCATAAAAATCATTGGCAGATGAGATGTTGGCAAGTTGCAACAACTGTTGGTCAGCAGAAGGGATGATTGAACTTAGGAGGACTTAACCATTTCCTAAAACCACCTGCCTTCTATGTTCATGAAACTTTTAGCCTAATAATGAATGAAAAACGTGCTCTTTGTTTTACCTAATTTACATCTAGAGTACGTAAGCCATACGATATATCAAGGGCAAATGTGAACTCTTGAAGTCCAAAAGTCCATGAAAAAGTTAGAAAACAAGAGCTAGAATTGCTGCCTCATCAATGCCACGCATTGCTTTTTATCTCAAAATTATTACTTCTTCTGCCTTGTTTAGTCTAGGACTGCAGAGTTTAACAAACTTTTTATAATTTCAATATCATATTTGCAATTATTTCAAAACATACATTGAGCAATGGCCAGGTTTTATGGCCACTCAAAGAGAGTGGCCACGAAGGACACTTTCCCAATTGGGACACCAACAATGCTCTATTCGCAAATTTGATAGTTCTTAGCCCCTAAACCCCCTGTAAACCCCTCACCCAACTCTGACCCCAACCCATTGTCAATTGGGTGGTGCAAATTTAGTTAACTTTGGGGTCAAAATATTTTATGACTGTCCAATAGAACAAATGCTGAAAAATCTGTGATGTGACTAAGAAATGTGCAAAAACGCATAGACCATGGCTAAATATGCATTCTTCCCAGTTTACAACTACAATACATCTCAAATTATCCAAAAATCTAAAAGAACACCATAATGAATTCGAAAGAGAGAGAGATAGAGCTGTGAAGACAGGCAGATCAATTCTAAGGAATTACCAGCTGGTGTCGTTCTCAGACTTCTTGACGGCAAGGCGGGTCCAAGCCACGGCCTTCCCGGAGGCAAGGTGTCGGATTTGGACGGGCGAGGCTACGATGCCGATGAGCTGCACAGAATTGCAAAGCTCCTTCTTCCATTGAATCTCCGCCGGAGGCGGAAGCTGAGAGGCCTCGATTTGGCCGCGCTCGAAAACGGAGGAACTGGAAATTTTGCTGCTGGTGTAGTCGTCTGAGTAGCTGATTCGGCCGCAGGAGACTAATCGCCCGCTTTTAGAAGAAGAAGATAAGGAGCGCTTGAGGGATAAGGGTTGAAACAGGGGGGGCATGGATGGGATTCGAGAATATCGTAGAGGGTCGTTGGGAGGGAGAGCATAGGGTTTTGACAGAACGACTGCTCGTTCAAACGCCATTATCGATCTCTGGTCTGGTGACTGTTGACTGTTGAGGGTGAGTACGCGAGAGGGAAAATGGGCAAAAGTGGCATACGACAATCTTTTGGGATGGATGGACGGGAACAGTTTTTGAGTTTTAACTCCTCTTCAGTCTCATCTTCTCATTTCATTTTTTAACAATTAAAATATCACAACTATCCACACTTACTTTATTTATTACACCTCATTTAATACACTCCATTCATTTTCACCTTTTTTCAACTCTTCTTAAACACCACCAAAAGTCAAAATGAGAACATCTTAGGGGGACGGATGGAGTATTTTTAATTTGTATTAAACATTAATATAATAAAATAAAATTTTAAAAATTCTCAATAAAATAAATCTAATAAAATTATTTTTATACTAATATATATTATATTTTTTATTTAATTAAAACCTAAAGTTATCATATTTGACTTGAAAAAATAAACTCAATAAACACACTTTGATGGAGGAAGTTATTTTTTATTATAAGGTGGGAGAACCCTTAGCCATATACATCTAAATCTTCAGTTTTGATCCAACACTGCCTCACACACTTCTCATTATATGAAACATGCATTGATGGCTCTATTAGTTCATGTATAAACTCGGGAGACACATACACATCCGGAGATTATGAATGTTTACAAAACGTCACGTATTTCCTATCCTGACTTATGTGTATTATCCAAATCACCTATTTCTTAAACATGTGTGTACCCTCATTAAACAACCACTACATTGCACTAAAACCATTTCTGGAACGCACTAATAACAAAAACTCCCGCAACAATTTCAGCACCAATCACGTCCCAACACATTGAGTACTTGGAACGTCTCCTAGTTATTCTCTCAACTTGCTATACTTTTGACAGAATTCACCATTGTCAGATTTATTAGTGCGTCCTCAAATGGTTTTAGTGCAATATAGTAGTTGTTTAATGACAGGCACCAATCACTTTCCAATCCAAATTAATTAACCTTTTAAAATCAAATTTCCCTCCAACACTCAAACAATAATTCAGTAGTATTACACTAATAGAACTATAGATATACACCAATGTATGAATACTATGCACTCTTTTTTGAACACCACATTCCACACTCAGCCACACGTATTATCTAATTCCTGCTTTCGCTAATCAATGACAAACATTATCATGTGCAACTCTATGTAAAATAAGAATTCAAAGAAATGTATTCACACAAGAAACTGACATCCAGTCAAGTTAATGCTAGAATTCTTCATAAATACCAAAATATTATGTCTATCTATCCTCATACTAAGCAATAATTCAATCCCATCTAGCAAAACGAACAAGCCAGCATCGACTCACTCAAGGGTTGCTCCATGAAACCAAAACTCAAAAGCATACGAAACTGGAAATTCTAGAAAAAAACAAAAACAGAATACATCATAATCCCCATGAAAAAGTCAGGCATCAAAAACATGCATTTGTAATCAAGTCATGTAGTCTTCAACCACTCGAGTGCTTCACCTGTTGCCTTATCTTGTCCTTAACCTCGTTGACATCTGATTCGACTATCGCAGCACAATACTTTGTTCGAAGTGCATTCACTGCCTTCTCATCCCCCTTTTTCAAGCCACATTCCCACTCCTTCAATGCCTGCCCTGTGTACGTCTCCATGTGCCGCATTGTAATCACACCATAATCAAATACAGCAGTCGAATCTCTCCACGCCAATTGCAATCATTTTGGTTCTTGTGCCTTCAGTTTCTTGACCCGGCCATCCAGTCCTTTACTCTTGAAATATTTTATGGCCATGTCTCGCTGTAATCAAAGGGATGATAAAACATTACAATAATGAATTACGTTTTTCTCATCAGATTTTAGAATTGGCTTCAATACATTATAAAAGATCCGTATCCCCCTTAATCATTTGGGGGACGTGCTGCCAATTTATACTTACAACAACGTTTGGCATCTTGTCATATTTATTAATCTTTGCAACGTCGGCGGATGAGCTGTCGAGGATATCAACCCTATTCCCTTTCAGGTTCACACATATGCAATAACACCAACAGTGTTGCATTATTGGGAACAATATCCGCACGTTTAAGAACATATTATGCATTTGAACAGTATATTCATATAATACAAATAAACATACCACCGTCGCAAGCAGTACTCAAAATCAGACATCAATAATCTCACCATATCAACATCACATGGATTAGTCAAGCTCCAGCCGTATTCCAGTGCATCACAAACCACCTTAAAAGCATCAGCTGCCTCTTCCATTTCCCCCTCACTCATGAACATCTGCAATTATATTAATCGTACAATAATACGTCCAGGCAAGTACAGAAATTAAAAAGATGCAGATTTAAGTGTATTATTAGAAAGTAACATACACATCTAATCATTTTTGCAAAAAACCGGGCTGGAGATTCAACGCTACGAAACAGCTCCTTGTGATTCAATATGCAAGACCAAGCATCCACTACCCGTGGTGAAATGTGATGGCTAGTCGCCAACGTCTGAAGGTCTCCACGTTCAACCGATATATTATACCCACTGAACACAATGTCATTCCTGCATAAGTTTTACAGAACCAAGATCAAGAATGTTACTTTAAGTTTCCTAATATGATGCATTGTTTAACCAAAGTTAAAGCATAAACCTGTCAGCATCTTGCTCGCTTACAACCCACTTTCAAAATTTCTTCTCAAATGTGTTCACATTTTCTCTTGGATCAATCACTCGTGTTAGGTAAGGTGATTTCAACGTCAAAGTTGTTTTGGTCTTCCTTCTAGCCCTTTCGCCTTTTGCATATTTCACAACCTGTTCAAAACAAATTAAATGAATGGCCGAAGATATCTATGTCATCTATTTAATAACCTATTATCATACCTCATCAATTTTCTTTTTCAGCCCAACACCTTCATCATCTATTCTCTCTTCAACCGTCACCTCCATCTAGAATGAAACCTAGACAAAAAGTTCATCAAAATAGGTGCAGTCCTGTAACGTATATACGCAATGTGTACAGAAACTTTGTGATACCTCATTGTTCACATCTTGATTGTTCCGCACTGCATCACATTCTGCACCAATCATCTCTTCATTCTGCTCTATCTCTTTGTTCGGCTCAAGTTCCATGTTCGGGGTGTTCTGAGGACCAGCCATGTTCGGGGTGTTGTGAGGATCAGCATGAGTGATGTTCGCTGGCGTCATCTCTTCATCCACCTCATTGCTCTTCTACCTCTCACGCGTGCTCTCCATCTCGGATACACCCCCACCTTCTTCTTCAAGAATCTGTGTCATCCCTAAACTGAAAGAAGGCACATCATTAATAAATTCTTCATACTTCTTCCGCACTTCTGCTGCCTTTGCCGCTTCATCAACCGCTGCCCAAATCTCTGGACTGCTCCAGAATTCTGAATCCCTAAACATGTCTGTTTCATTTTTCCCAACATCTTTTTCAAAATTATCTTTCTTTTCAACATTTATGCCAATTACTCTATGGCACATATTACGCATCTTACGAAACATCAAATTCTTTCCCATCGACTTTGGTGCATCCTGAATCATTTTCAGTAGATCAATAACTGTGCTTGACAGGATCTTGCTTTTGTCTGCAATTTTCCTTACAGACACCTAGATAAAATATAAAATGACAACAGCGCGTAATTGTTTAAAATTAGCCTAACTAGATATAACATAACACCATTTTTGTCAGTGATTATATATTACAAACTTTACCTCCTCGGAATCTTCAATGATCACATTTTCATGCTCTGTATTATCCCTCTCCTCTATAGCCTTCCTTTCTCTCTCAATCAGCTCTCTGTTCACCTCCAGCCGCATCTCACGACTCATACGTCCTTCATCATGGCCTAAACCAAATCCGCCTTCAACAACCTCACTGTTCTCTCCCTTTCGTTGTTCCTTTCCACTCCATCCCAACACAGCTGGATATGTCTTAGGAACTGTTCTTGAGAAATCAGAAACACGTTCAACGTAGAACACCTGCATAATAATATCATTAATAAGCATGATGGAAATTAAAAAATGCACAATACACACAAGTCTAGATTATACCATTAGAAGGAGCAGTGGACCACTGAAAAGCTGCTTCTTTTTTTTCTGCCACTTTAGCTTGTTCTGAATCAGCTTGTCAAGAACATATTGACACCAATTCAATTTTGGAACTCTCCCCACATCTCTCAGATGGTCCATCACCAAGGCATTCACATAACCGTGTGATGTGCTATCCACAAGTACCGACACAATAAGTGTCACAAAATGTCTCACAAACCACTCCCCCCATCTGTGCACCGCAGCATCTTCTCCACAACATCATTTGGAGTTATCTTAATACTCGTCGTATCAAACTTATGTCTCCACTCTTTCAACAACAACTTGTCCTTATTACGCTTGTTATTTTGAATGCGCTCTCCACCAATCGGCCACCACAAGACGGTATTAACATCCTCATCATTTATGTGCATCTTTGTATTGTCCGGAAGTTTCCGACAGCTACTCCTAGCATCATAGTTACTCACAACCCAAAGTCTCAACCTTGATGGCAACTCCCAAATATCAAGTTTTAAAACTGACCCAAACCCAATCCTTTCAACAACGGCACGCTGAACATCATTCATCCCTTCTATTGCTTTCATTAATACATGGGGTGTCGACCTTGTCTTCAATGACCCATATGGCGCCTTGATATCAACCAATTTCTTCTTTCCAATCTTCCCTTTTTTTCTCACTTGTAATCTCTCCCCCCCTTCTCAATACGCTGACTTGATCTTGCATGTGAACGTTGGCCACTATTACCAACTGCTCTAGGCGTCTTTCGTTTCACCGATGCAACCCGCTCACTACTATATTCATCTTGCACACCAACAATTTCATCCTCATCTCTATTATCTCCCTCTCGCAATCTTCAGTTTCCTCCTCATCAGATCCCTGTGCATCATCACTTTCCGATCCATCACCATCATTAACTTCTTCACCATCATAATCTGTCTCCTCCTCATCACTGCCTTCTCCATCCTCATCATCCCCATCCTCCTCATCAGTGCCTTCTGGGTCACCATCACTCCCCATACTTGATGGGGATGCACTATTTTCACCCCCATATGCATCATCTGCATCCTGCCTAGCTTGCATATTCTCATCATGCAAATCACCCCTCCCACCATCCACCAGAGCATTTATTTGAATCTCTGTCATTTCTTTGTCTGCTTCATCCCTAGCTAAGCCCTTCAACTTCAGTAGACCCCCACTTTGGTTTGATTTGTCACCAACAAGATCAATTCTCTCAGGCCCCCCACGCAGCTTGTTTTTCATCCTGAACACAACGCTCTGCAACCTTCCACTTCTCCTTCGTGGAGTGCTATCTTGTGTCTTCAGTACCTTCTTTTTACATCTCTTAAGGAATAGGTGCTGGCCTGGATTGCTGTGAAAGTCACAAACACATGAAACACATTAAACAATATTAACAAGATCCTTACTCATTCTATAAGAATGTTTGGTAATGCACTGATGTTTGCTTGTTATGCAAACTTGTGATACTTATTCATGTTATTAATGACCTATATTTTTTCCATGTATTTCACATATATTCTTCCATCATAGACCATGCTCTTCAAACCTTCTTTACAAGCAATTATTTAATCAAACAATAAAGGTAATGCATACCCATAATATTAATTTAAATTCACCAATCCTATATCATTGCATTACAAACTGCCCAAAAAACACTTAACAACCATCAAATCCAGCAGCAATCATGTTGGATGAATGATGCAATTTAGAACACACACAATGCCTAACCAAACATTAATTTGTGAATGCTTATCCAACCACACATCATGCATATACTTAATCGAGACAATTTTGATTCAAACTTTACATCAAAAACACTACAAACTGCTCAAACCACCTAATACTTATCCTGAAATTTATGCTAATGTGGGATAGTCATCCATGTTATTAATTAGAATATTCTTCTCATTATATTTCACGTAAATCATTATTTCATGGAACATGCACTACCATGCTTAATTAGAATCACCAAATGCACAAACCAACAAAGACAATGCATACCAATTGTACTGTATTATACAAACAGCAATCCCATATTATTTCAATGCAAAGCCCTAAAAAAATAGTCAACAAGCATCAAACTAACCATCATGCATTCTGAATGTTAGATGCATTTTAGAAAACATTCATTGCTCATCCAATAATACAATGTAAATGCCTCTCTAACCCCAAACCATTCATCTTATTAGCTGATTGAATCCTGATCTAAACATTTAATATTACAGACACTGCTTCAAATTAAAAACACTTCAAAGTGCTAAAAATATAGTAATGCTGTTAAACAAGACCATATACCTTAAAAAACACAAAATCAAGTAAACAATCCTTTAAAAAACCAAAACTCTCTTTCTAAAAAATTTTAAACTCATTTACTTTAATTTCAATTCGAACCCTCTCCACCACTTAAGCACACAAATACCACAATCATGCACAACAAAACCCTAGAAATGCATCATATAAAACACCAATCCACTGATGACATTTATTATCCATCAACTACTCCTGCTACACCCATCATCACCCAAAACCCTAAAAAAAACAAAATTATAAAAAACTGACATATAATCCACAATTCTTTTGGACCCACTCCCCCACATTCCAAAATAAATGACATAAAAATTAAATTTTGTGTATTGTATTTCACAAACGCAGCAAACACATCCGAACCCCTACCGGAACAAATGCAATCACTTTTTCAAATCAGAATATACCAAAATCTTCAATTTATCAAAAAATAAAATATATAAAACATTACCTGTTTCTTCTGGCGATGTTAATGGTGTCAGACTCTTATCGCCAACTTCTTTCTCCGTCGTAGCACTCCTCTCCGTTGCCATAGCAACTAGAATTTGAATTGGAGTGTACAACTCCAAGAGCCCTCTTAAAGCTGGAGTGTGAAGTTTGCCTCTGCGTTAACTACTCGAAAGTAGCACCGAAATAGGAACACTTGGCGGGATTCCTTTTTGGGGTGTGCACGTGTGCACTTTTCAGTGGCAAAAATACCCCTTTTGTGCTGCTTCCTTTTTTAGACACGTAATTTTAAACTTACCATGTGCAGCCCACCATTCATTAATAAGTGATTAAACAATCACAGCCATCCATTCCTCCAAATAAAAATACCAATATTATTTTTAAACAAGTATATAAATATACTTTAAATAATTTATGTCAAAATAATTATATTAATAATAAAAATTACAAACCAAAATAAAATATTCAAAGTATATATATATATATACACACACACACACATACATACATTGAATATTTTATTTTAGTTTGTCATTTTAATTATTAAAATAATTATTTTGACATAAATTATTTAAAGTATATTTGTATACTTGTTTAAAAATGATATTGGTATTTTTATTTGATTTAAGATTAATTTTATATTAATTTTTGGTGTCAAATAAAATACACTTTGAACATTTAAGTGGAGAAGAATTTTTAAAATCCTTCTCATAATCACAACCTTAATTTCAGCCATGATAAGTTTTTAAAGGAACAAAATTTCCTTATTTGATTATTGAGTGGATCTAATTATTTTGTCATTTAGTTAATGACAAAGTCAAATTAATAATCACTTTTTCTCCTTAAATATACTCCACACCATTCCCTTCATTTTTGTAGATTTTTGTTCGGCCATCATCATTCAAGAGAGAAAGAATTTTTTTTGTGTTCCAATAATATCATTGTGTATAGAAAATATCTATAATATTTTTTAAATATTATTAGAAATTTTTTCTATTGAAATATACAAGAGTATTATTATCCCAATTTTAATCTTTATATTTTATACTATCACAATCTTTACTAGCATAAGGATTGTGGTAGACTCTGGTTGTTGTTCGTGTGTCAAAGTTGGAGATCGGACGCTTGAACGGTTATGTTTGCACTGTCAACGCTATTCCTACGACTTATTCATTTTTACCGCTTACGGAGAAAGGTATAAATTTCTAACTTACTATAATTTTTAGTACGTGATTTTGGGCAACATAATCAGGTAAGGATGTTAAAATTTTCATATTTCACTGCCTATCATTGCATATGGACACTCTTGGAAGGTGCCAAGACACCCAGCTTGGAATCCCAATGGAAGGTGTCCAATTAGGCAGGTTGGAGCCCCTACCACGGAGGTGCTAAGGCAGGTCGTGGACTCCCGTACGCACGTTTTAACCCTGGAGATCATCAGGTGTATGCCGACACCTGCATGACCTTATGTTTTAATACCTCAATCCCATAAGTAATTTAGATTCCAAACTCAATGCAAACCCACCTAATACTACTAGGCGACCTTTTTCGCAATTCATGTTTCGCACACAAGTATAACCAATAAGTTCTATAATAACACAACTCCCCTATTTGACACGTTCGTTATCCTCGATAGACTTATTAGACTGGATTATAAAAGTAGAGCTCAAATTGGTGTATTTCACTTGGTTGGTAGATTTGGACTATTCCATGGCCATTGTCCAAACGTTAAAAATTTAAACACCAGTGGACTATTGCAACTAAATTCGGCCCACAACATAAACCTAAGCCAATTTGATCAAACTTTTGGAAAGGTCAATCTTCAGTACTCCCCTCTCGATGACCTGGTCTCCAGTGAGATAGACCAGCGACAACTCTACTACGTCAATGGAAACCAACGGCTCAACAGCAACATGTGGCGTCCTCTTCCCCATCGGCAAAACATCAATGACAGAGCAAAATAGAAAGAAATAGAGTAGAACATGATGGCACAGAGCAGAGGAGAAGGAGAAAGAACGGAGCAGGGCAGCAGGAACGGCAATGAAACACGGGTTGTAACTCAATTCAATTCAACTATACAATCCAATTCCAAATTCGCACCATGATAAATCAAACAAACTAGGATGATGATATGGTGATGAGGGAGGTCTCAGAATAGGAGCAGGAGCAGGCTAGGGCCGCCGCGAGGATGAAGCTGATGAAGACTCTTTGCAATGGGAATTTATTCCCATAAGAATTCCAAAAGAGAATAATGTGGACAATAGAAATGGTATATATTTAGTTGGTTTTGTTTTAGTTTTATTTGTTTTCACTCATTCTTGGTGTAGGGTTTAAATGTTGTCTTAATAATAATATAAAAAAATGCTCCCTTGCAGGTGGTCTTTCCTCAATATCAGAGATTCAGGCGATTGAGACGCCAAGACCAGGCGGCAACGGAAGCGGATCGGAGCACCGAAATGGAGATGATGCAAGAAATGAGCCCTCCCTAAAGGATCATGCAGTCATCTGATACTCGAGGTATCCGTGTTTGCGGCAAGGGGGTGGCGACCGTATTTTTCCGGTCGGCAGAGGCGGCAAAGGAGAAGGAGAATTATTAGGGTTTAGGGAAAAGAAAGAATATAGGGGAAGGAGTTATCTCTTATTCATACTATGCGTAAGGGTTTATCATTCCCTTATATAGAAGAATTCCCCAACCTAAATTACTAATTTTCTATCCTGTCGGTTCAAGAAAAGCGACAAGGTAAAGAACCGAAAAGAAACCCTCCAAGGCGCTTATAGTTCGTTCACCTAACAAAATCTATTAGATTAGTGAATAAGAAGGAATAATAAAAATATCAAACGTAATCTTTGAAACGGCGAGGTCGCCTAGCATTCCGTTGTGGTCATCCAACCCTAGGAGCCCCTTCATGGTCTACGTCGTCCGCATGGCCCGAATCCTCTGCATGGCCTAAAAAAACTCCCCCGGGTTAGCTTCGGCCTTTTCCTCAAGGCGGAGATCTGCATATTTGTCCAATAAGTCATCAACAGGCTCCCACGTAGCGTCATCGGCGTCCCATCCGACCAACGGACGAGCCATTGCTCTTATGGGTGGCCATCTACCAGGACCGTGCGGCTGCGCAGCCCCACAACAGGGGTTGATAACGGTCGTCCCTTGAATAAACAGTTTGGCAAGGAGGAGGATAAAGTGCTGCCCGATTGTGCTATAAAGGGGCGCAGAAGTGAAACATAAAAAACGTCATGTATCTTGCATCCGTCCAGAAAACGTAGACGATAGGCCACAGCTCCCACACGCTCCATCACCTCAAAGGGGTCGTAATATCGTTGGGCAAGCATGGCAGACAACGGACGAGCCATCGAGTGTTGGCGGTACGGCTGAAGTTTGAGAAGCACCATGTCGCCGACAGCAAAAGAAACATCCCGTCAGTGTTTATTAGCTTGCGAACGCATACGTTGCTGCATCTCTGTAAGATGAGCCTTCAAATCATTGAGCAAATCGGCGCCTTCACGTAACATTTCCTCAATCGCCGGAACCCGAGCACGCACTGATAAAGTAGGGAACAATGAAGGTGGTGGCCGTCCATAGAGGGCCTGGAAGGGAGAAACGCCCAGCCCTTCATGGTGGCTGCAATTTAAGGCGAGCTCTGCCCACAGTAGAAAACTCGACCACTTGGACGACCGCTCATAGGTAAAAGCTCGGAGGTATTGTTTGAGGCTATGGTTAAGAACCTCCGTCTGACCGTCGGACTGGGGGTGGTAGGCGGTGGAAAACATGAGCGAAGAGCCGCTTAACCGCATCAATTCTTTCCAAAATAAGCTCATAAACACCGAGTCTCTGTCCGAAATAATGGAGAGAGGGAACCCGTGATGCTTAAACATGAAGTCGGTAAAGAGACGGGCAACACGTGGGGCATCAAATCCAGGGGCTAAGGCCCCACAATGCAAGTACTTGCTCAACATCTCGACCACCACCATGATTACAGTGAAACCTTGGGACGGGCACCCGTGACGAAATCCATTGAAGCCGATTCCCACACTTGGTCCGGTATTGGCAGCGGGTGAAGGAGCCCGGTGGGTCGTTGTGTTGAATATTTCGTGGCCCGACTTACGGCACAGGAGGCTACAAACTGCCGCACATCCCGACGATCGACGGCCAGTAAAACACCCCTATCAACAGAGTCCAATGAAAGTTGTCCTTCTTGAGTAGCTCCATCATTGGTGCTGCCAACATGGCATACCCGGCGATGAAACGACGATAATATTCGGTGAGGCCAAGGAATCCCCGCAATTGTTTGATGGTAGTCGGTTTAGGCCAGTTAACCATGGCGTCAATTTTGCTTGGGTCCGAGTGTAACTCATCGGTGGTCAGGATATGCCCGAGGTAATCAATGGAGGCCCTGCCTGAGTTTGACATAGAAGCAATTAGATTGGAGAGTACCTAAAACCGTCCGAAGATGAGCCGCGTGGGCGTCCACTGATGCACTGTACACCAAGATGTCATCAAAAAACACAATGACGAATTTCCGCAGGTATGCCCAAAAAAGGTTATTCATCACTGATTGGATAGTCGACGGGGCGTTGGTGAGGCCGAACGGCATGACCAAAGACTCGTAGTGTCTGTCATGCGTGCAGAATGCTGTTTTAAAAATATCCCCCTCATGCATACGGATCTGGTGGTATCCGGATCGTAAGTTGAGTTTAGGGAACACCCGAGCGTGGCCCAATTCGTCAAATAGCTCGTCCGTTCTGGGGACGGGGTAATGATTAGGGACTGTGGCGGCATTCAATGCTCTATAGTCGATGCAAAAACGATATGTACCGTCCTTCTTATGCACCAAGAGAACCGGAGAGGAGTAGGGGTTGTGGCTATGTCGAATCAACCCCTGGTCCAACATTTCTTGAACTTGCCGCTCAATTTCCGTCTTTTGGAAGTACGGATAGCGGTAGGGGCGAACATTCACGGGCTTGGCGGTTGCGTCAAGATGAATTCTATGATCCCAATGATGGAGGGTTGCAACCCCTGCGGCAACCCGAACACATCCGAATACGCTAACAAGACGGCATGAATAGGTGTCGGAATGTCATCTAGAAATGCAGGTGGGGAGGCCGAATCCTGCCCAGGAGAAGAATTTGCCAGTATCAATTCATAAATATCCCAAACGTCCGGAGCCGCGGCCAGAGTGCAAAATTGGCTATAAGAGATCGGGCGAGGGTGAGGAACGTCCCCGCGCAGGACTACTGGGCTGCCCTTCCAAGGGAACTCAACCGTTAATTGTGAATAATCATGCGTCACCTTGCCGAGGGTTTGTAACCATTGCATGCCCAAGACGATGTCGGGGCCATGTATTTCAAGAATATATAAATCAATGTCGAAGCGATGACCTTGCAAGCATAACGGCATTTGGGGGCATGAATAGGCGCACCGTAGAGAGTCCCCATTGCAGACATATACCCGAAACGGAGTTACTGGGTGGAGGGTCAACGTGAGGCGTTCGGCCACGGCAGAATGAATAAAATTGTGCATGCTCCTTCCGTCTAAGAGCACCTGAACCGCCATCTCCTTGACGGACCCCGCCAAATTGAGGGAACGGGGGCTAGGGCTGCCGGCCAGTGAGTGGAGACTGGAGATGTCCCCCGAAATTACAGCAGCTTCTTGGTCTCTGTCAACAAAATCCTCAATGTCCAGGGGGTTTTCATCTTCATCAGGACCCATAAAAACCAGGAACCGATGCTTACAATGGTGGCCCGGCACCCACTTCTCGTCGCAGGCCTAACATAAGCCCTTCTTGTTGCGTTCCGCTTTCTAGGCATTCGTCAATCGGACAATTGGGAGATTCGCCGCTGGAGTGGAGGTACGTGGGGCTGGCGAGATGGGCTTTGTGGCAGCCATTGGGGTAGGTAGAATTCCGGTAGTAGCTGGAGATGGTGGACGTTGCGGCCAAGGACGCCGGACCCTGAAAGAATAAGAGACCGCGGCTTCCTGTGTTAGACAAATGTGCAACTCTAGAGGGGGGGTGAATAGAGTTGTTTTCAAGAATGTGCGTTTTTCGCGTGTGTGAAATAATAAAATCGCAGGAATAAATAAAAAGAGTAAGGGAAAGAAGAACACCGAGATTTATACTGGTTCACCACCTCGTGGCTAGTCCAGTCCTCCGAGAGACTCTCTCGAAAGTCCTACTAATCTTCAAGCTTCAACGGGTGCTTGAAAAACCGGTACAACTTGAGAACTTGAATCACACAAGCCTCACTTTCTTACAACAACAAGACTTGAGTCACACAAGTCTTAAGAACAACACTCAAATGAGATTGAGTTTACAACACAAGAATGAAAGCTCACACAATTGAGCAAAGTAGTGTTGAAGAATTAAAGCTCTATGGATGACAAAATCTTTAGCACTCAATAAAATATTTTTAACTCTCAAAATAATATATTTGATGAGGAAAATGGAAGCAAGAATTGAATATTGATTAATGAAGATATTGGAGTGCAAGAGATGTGTGTTTGATGAAGAAGGATGAGGGTTTTTATAGG